TGGGTGGGGGGGTGTTCAGCATGAGTGTTCAGCATGAGGGAAGAGGCAGCCTTTAGCTGTTTAGCTCGTGCACCTGCATTGAGCCGCTATAGCGTTACGTCAGTGCCGACAGGTGGTTGGGGGGGGCGGTGGCAGTAGACGGGGCCGCTCGGTTCTGTTGACAGGACGAGGCACCCCACTTGTATAATGGTAGGAGAAACACTGGAGTTACTTTAGCAAGCCTCTTTGTGGTTAACAATGATTTAAACTAACAACAAAGTTGCTGTGTGTCTTCATCAATATTCCCTCGGTAATAAATCTGTTATTGTTTATTCCCACAAGTGGACTGTCCCACTTAATGTTATCAGTTCATCACAGTAATGAGTCACGGTTCCGCAAGGTTTTTTTTCCCTTCATGTTGGCCAGCCCGCCCTTCAGAGGTAGCATGTCTCTGACACACTGTGTACACATGCATGTGCACAGCCATCACTGTTGCTTTCAAAAGGTTATGTTTTGTATGTTCGTGAAAATGATGAAATATGTGAATGACCCCTTATATTAGGTGCCCAGTAGTAGAACAAGAGGTTAAGTAGACCCACTCCACATTCTACAGAGCTTTAGGCCTCTGCAAGACTTAATGGTGCAGCCTGAGTGGTATCTTGCTTCAGAAAAAACCCAGATCAGACTATTGACCTTATAGAAAAAATATAAAGGTAAAATGATTGAAAACATATATATACATACACAAGAGCCACCTGTATGTCATAAATGTGACCCAGGACAATTTTAAACCTGCCAGCAGAATGAGAAATTGTTTTAACTTCAACACAGGTAATATCTGTGAGTATAAGAATGGTAACACTACTTGAGTTGCTGGAAAAAGATGAACGTTTCACCTTCATAACCCAGATCCTCATCAGTCTGGTGTGGGTTACATACCTCAAATGCAAGTAAATTATAGGAATATCAAGATGGGGAGAATCTTTAATGCGTTTGATTGAGTTAATCAAACCTTAGAGTTCTTACAACGATTCTTAAACTACCGGTACTTCTTGCCTTACAACACTTACAATTCAAACTAGCAATCTCTAAAATTCCCACCCACACTAGGAGGTGCGCTATAAGTAGAAAAAAGATACAACATGATTTAAAAATTAAAAAATCAAGATGAAAATAAGTAGCAACAGAAAAATAAGACCGTTTCATATACATCATCAGATTACTGGAAAACACAACAGCTTAATAGGTCTGGAAACATGGAATAGATTAAAACCTAGTTCCCTTTAGGGCTACGGTAAATAAATAAATGAACCCTCAAAATTGGAGCAGAACAATGCAATTCCAGTCAGAATCCAACTGAAAGCTAGAACAGAACATTACTGTCTGTATAAATCATGGGGACGCTGCTGCTGCTGAAGGTCAAAGAAGAATCTGAATGAAGATCAGTTTGCAGCATGTCGGTCCCTCATGTTGTGTCTGGGGGTAAAGAAAATCTCGGGGCGAGAGATTTGAGGGTGTGTTGTGTCAAAGCTTTGCTCATGCTCTTCTTGCTGCTGCTTCGTTATGTCGTTTCTGTGTCCATGCTAGCTAACTGTAGCTAGCTGTATGTTATTTTCCAAACGAGCTTGCATGAGTTTGTGAGCTGTGCTTGAGTGTCCACGCTGCCTCGCTGTTTGTTCATCTCTGTTTGCCTACAGAAAACAGTTCAGATGAGGAAAACACCCCATGGATAAATAGGTTCACACGTAAGTTTGCCTCCTAGCTCAACATTGTCAGATGTTTCACATTAATTCATTTTTAATAGAATGATAGTTTTCATTATTTTGAAATGCAACTGTTATCGTTAATCTTTTTTGCAATAGACTAAATACAATTTATTTTTGGGGATATATGAAGCACTTTGTGCCGAATGTGTGTGGGTTAACTTCCACCAGTTAGATGTACTCTAAATATTAAACATCCCTTAGATATTAAGGGCACAAAAATAAAAATCTCAGCTGGTATAGTCAAACTGTTAAAAAATTAAACTCAATTAACAGAATATTAATTTATTCTAAAATTAAAGGCCTACCATTGCTATTCCTTGAAGAAATGCATTTTGCCCACCACCTTCACTGTGAGTATTTTAGAGCGTGTTATGATGAGAAGTAGCCTTTGGCTGTTTTGGTCAAACCTTATCCTTGTTGTTTTTTTAAGTTCTCGTTATATTCATAGTTATTTTCAAAGATCTCACCAGACATGTTAGGGGTGGCTTTTTAATTGTTAGCCACCATATAAAACTTTAGCTAAATATCTGTAATTTTGACCAGTCAGTTCAATTCAGTTTATTTATATAGCACCAAGTCACAACAGAAGTTATTTCAGGGAACTGAACAGAAACATTTGCATATATTATAGATGCCGATAAGTAAAATTATCTATCTAAGGAAGCCATCAGGTTGTGTTGAATCTTCACTTCATCCCAGTCTCCCATCCTGAGCAAGTGATAACCAGTAAGCTATTGGAGCAGCTTTTAATAATAATGCCACTTCATCTGCTTAGTTTATAAATGATGCATCATAATAACATTTATGTTTAAAAAAACAAAAAAGAAGAAAATATCTCGCTTGGTATCTTTCTGTCTGTGATTGTTGTTTCTTTATAACACCTCAGAAAACTTTGGTAATAAACAGATGATCTGAAGTCGTGCTGTGCATTGACTTTTAATTTTTCACAGCTCATAAGGGCTTCCAGCGCTTTGAGGCTCTGGAGCAGAGTGATTGGTTGAGTCCGAGCCAGGCTTCCCGTCAGAGGTTCCTGTTCATCACCATCTTGGACAAAAAGGTGAGAAGATGCCTCCATCTGTGGCATAACAAGGGCCTTGCACACACCACCATATTACCACAAGTCCCACAATGCATTGCCAGTGTTTGACACATCAATCATGGCGTGCGAGTGCAAGTCCTCACCTCACTCATTCATTAAATCTTATGGAGCCACTCGTCACCTGTGTCAACTTTCAACTATCCCTCACCCCAAACAATGGCTAAACAAAAGGTTGACTTTGAAAACACGTTTCCAAGGCGGGTGGGAGGCAGAGTATATGTATGCAGACATAAAAGGCAACGCTGTGTTGAGACAGTGTGGCTGTAATGAAAGAGTAGAACATAAGAAGACACTATGACGTAAAGCACCATGACCGATACAAGCATCTGGACACTACACGAAGGCTCCAGAAGGTAGAACAGTTTAAAATAAGTCTTGCATCACATCAGGCTTTGTTCATAGAAGCCAAATTACAAAGCAAGGCTGCTGTTAAGGCCAGTTTTATTGTGGCAGTAGAGGTTGCAAAACCAGCCCGGCCCTTTACCAAGGGAGAATTTGTCAAAAACTGCATGATAAAAGTTTGAAATGCCGTGTGCTCAGAAAAAAGGTAAGCCTGTTTAAACGTGAGCCTACCCCAAACACTGTTCTGATCATGTACATCATTTTGCCACCAATCTCCAACAACTTGTGGGGAATGGAAAATATTTCATTACATGCTTCCCTGCTGTGGTGTTTGTTACATCACGAGCCACTCTAATGTGCTTAACCTGCAGCTTCAAGTGCGCGGTTGTGCCATCACTGACGTATGCTACAGTGAGGGCTTTTTAAACCAAGCCACATCTGTGGGAAACAGATGTTTCAGGAATACTTGAGCCATTTTCTGTGCTGCCAAACTATGAAAGAGCAAGTTTCTGTCACCGTTGTTCCAAGTACGCAGTTTGCTGATGTAATGAACTAGGCCTCCGATCAAAACCTGCCTCTGAAGACCTTCATGGGACAGGAACTGTTATTTCATTGATTTGAATCCAGAAATACAAATTAGCTCATCCAGAGACTTTCTAATTGTATCCTGAACTAATCAATTGAAAGAACACTGTCTTTTTTATATTATCATTACTATTTTACAATATCTTGATAATCAAAAGTGTGTTTAGTTCATACCATTTTTAAATGTTGAAGTGAACCACTTATTTTAAATCAACTGTGAAACAGTATTAATGATTTTTTAATCCTCATTCAAATTAGAAATCAAGTTAAATGTCTATTTACAAAGTAGTTATGCATTTTTTGATCTTCTTTCTGAAATGAGAAGGAGTGATGTCGGTCAAAAGTCGGAGACAGTCCAAAATAATAATAATAATAGTGTCATCACAATGTCAGCACTGTATGTTTCCATACAATGGCGAAATTAGTCTCTGCATTTAACCCATCCACCACCAGGTGGTGCAGTGGGCAGCTATTGAAAGTGCCCGGGAGGCATTTTGGGGATGAGGTGTGCTGCCCAAAGACACCACGTGATGTGCAGTGACTGGGGATCGAACCTGGGACTTTTGGGTCCCAAGCCGGCTGCCCTGCCTCTACACCATCTCGGCCCCCATAAAACAAGTTGTTGGAACAATCTGTCGTGTTTTTAAAGCTCTCAGACAGTAAACAAGAGAAATGGCACCTGCAGTGTTTCTCACTTCGTCAAAACATTTCTCTGTCTGTTCCTAAACATTTCTGCTGTTTTCTCGACTTGTAAAAACCCTTTGACGTCACTAAAACCACACCCCTGTTGGTTCCTTCAACCAATCAGGACTTACTAAAAGTGACCGGAAGCAGAACTTTTTAAAAGTCGACACTTCCTGGAACTGTTGGTCCCTCTTGGTTCCGTGAGTTCCGTTGGTTCTTCTGAGTCTCTTCTGAGTTTTTCTCAGACTCAGTCTTCTGAGTCGAGTTGGGATTATGGAGTCTTCCACATCTGAGTGGAACCTCTGATGGACTCACAGCTTGCTGTGAGTTCACCCGGGAGATGAGCGTGTTGTTGAAAGGAGTACCGTCACCACTTCGGACGATTCTCAGCCATCCTGAGGAGACGCTGAAAGGTAGCATTGAAATGGAACTCCGTACCAGAGCTGACCTATCTTCTGCAAAGGTAACGAGTCGCTTCACTACCGAGTGTACCGGGGCTGAGCTGGGGTCGGATGACGAGTGCCATTCCTAGTCAACACACTTTCCCTCATCCATCTTTTCTCTCCATTTAAACTCCTTAATTTCCCATCTTCAAACTTATATCTTGCCAGTAATTAATCCAGATGCCTTCAGAAATGTCTGTTGTTTTTATTAAGTAAAACGTGCCAAGTTTTATTAATCAGAAGCAGATCAGTCTAATCAAGTGTACAATGTTTTGATGTTAAATTTTGATTCTGTTAATAAATGACCACATTTATTTTGATGGGTCAAAGAAAATTAACGTCTCATGTCACTGATTAAACCATCTGTGCACAGTACCCTGTCACATATCTGTCAAGTAGCTCGAAAAAGAGAGAACCCGTTATTAAAATATGACTGTAGTGGAGCTCTGAAGCTAACCAAGCTAATCAAGCCTTTTAGCACACTACACTGAAGAACTCTGCATACTTGGTTCCAACTTCACATGGCAAAATATTAGTCTGTGGATGCTGCAGTTTCCACGTTTCATTCCCAACACAATGTCCCAGAGACACTGCTCAAATGCTCACTATGTTTGACAGCAAATACCTGTGTAATTGTTCTCTTTGATGAAGATAAACAAAATATCACACACACACACAAACAGGAGTTGTCTTACTAATTAATAATTAACACTTTCATTAAATACTGAGGACTTCCTCAGCTGACCCCAAACATCCGTGAACTTGTATCCAAGGACACCAAGTATCTGGCTCAGACTAGTGAGCATCACAGAGCAGCAAACTAAGCTTTAGCCCATTTTTAGTATTTAATACAGTTTCATTTTAGCATTTATTTTCTTGCTACTACAGGACATTTGACTTTTTTAAAGGAATCACTTTGTGGCTGTTATTTGCCTGTAAAAAATAAATAAAATTGAAGTTACTTGGGGAAAAGGTGCAGATAGAGCCATAAGAAATGAAAGCAACTGATTTTATATATTATTTTATTTTATTTATTTGATGATTAATGTTGTTTTATAGACAATAATTTAAAGGCCTTATTAGTTACTGGTTCATTTAGTGCAATAAGGTAATTTCAGTAACATCAATAAACATTAAACCAGTCTGACCCTCAACTTGCAGCATTTTTTATTTTAATTTTGGCCCACTGTGTATTTGAGTTTGACACCCATAGTTGACTAATGATAAAAAGGGAAGTTTTCACATATGTTATTTGCCTATTACTAATACACATTTGGTGTAACTTTGTCTTAAGTACTCAAAATAAATTGGACTAAATTTTCACACTACTTTGTCTTCAAGGCATTCACAAAAGTTTTTCTTCAGATGGTTTATTTCCCTCTTTGTTACAAACACACTGCTCCTCCAGAAGGCAGCCTCTGTTCCCCCAAGCTCTCACTGGCTAAGGGGCACACAATGTCTTTTCTTAAACTTGAGTGGATTGAACATTCAGTCAGAGGTAGCTAAGAGTTTATTTTCTTTAGGTGGCGATCTTTCTTCATTTGTTTATTTCTCCTTAAGCTCATTCTGTTGAGTAATTGGTTCCCATCTCATTGGATAGTTACCATAGTTGCTTCCCTTCTTCATTCCTTTTTATTAAATATTTACAACCTTTTTCCACTTGTTTAATTTATGTTAATTGTAATGTTAAAAAAAAAACCGGGAAAAACATGACTTGTTAATTACTTCTAAAAGTGACAATGTTTCTTTTAAATATTTTGTTCTTTAATGGTTATCATTGCCGTATTTGTTTTTTCACCGTTTAGGTTTATTCCTCCAATAAACATAATAAATGGACTCTCCATTTAATGAATATACCTAAACATAAACAGTGAGCAAGACATATTGAGGTATTCAGAAGATATGTAGTGTTCTCGTGTTAAGCATAGATGTGTTGTACTACTGTGAGTACCTGCCGTTGTGTAAGCCTCTAGACTGGTTCTGTACCATCTCTGTCCTTTCTGTAGGTGACTCTTTACAGCTACAACTGGTCTGTGGACCTGAGTGCTTCTCTGAATCGAGAGCTGGTTCGTCTTATTAAGTGGCAGAATGCGAGGGCTCATGTTGTCCACTGCCTGTTCAGCCAGAAGATGGGCCTCTTCCATCACTACTGTTTCTCTGATGCCCCTCTTCATGAGATGGACTCCAAGCAGGTAAAGAGACCAGTACAGTGATAGAGATGGGGCAGTGAGAGACTGCGGAGCCCAGTAAGCAGTACCTCACTGGCTGTTTTTGACTAGTTGGCAAGCAACATTCACAAGGAAGTCCCTAGAATGCCTCAAAGTGTTTGCAGGAGTTCTCAATTTCCTCATGTAAGTCCCATAGTCTTGCAGCGTTATCGCTTTTAAACTTTTTTAAAAAAGTACAACAAAACTGTCAAATAGTTGCAGGGTTGTTTCAGGGGCCTCTAACCAAACTAAAATTAGTTTAATTTTTTTCTAGAACTGGATTTTGACACCTAGAGGTAACTATCTGATGGAAAACATGTCCAGGTTGAAAAACTACACTGATGATAAACTGTTTCAAATCTGCCTGTCTTCATTTATAATGTACTCCATCAGATTGCACCTTAAATATGGAGGAGGCTGCCAAGGTGGGCAGAGTTGGGTAACAAAATAACACGCATGGATTGGGGCCTCATCTTCAGGGCATTGCTTCAGTCAGTCTTGGTGAAAAAAGAGCCGAGTCAAAAGGCAGAACTCTTAATTTACTGATCTGTCTACATTCTGACCCTCATCTATGATCATGAGGTTTGGATCATGACCGAAAGAACGAGATCCCAGACACAAGCGGCCAAATTTGGCTTCCTTCATTGGGTGGCCAGGTTCAGCCTTAGAGATGGGGTTAAGAGATCACTCATCCGGAGGGAGCTCGGGGTAGAGTCGCTGTTGCACAGCATTGAAATGAGTTAATTGAGGTGGTTCAGGCATCTAACAAGGATGCCTCCTAGATGCCTCCCTTTAGAGGTTTTCTGGGCACATCCCATTAGTAGGAGGCCCCGGGGAAGACCCAGAAGTCGCTGAAGGGATAGTGCATCTCCTCTGGCCTGGGAACGCCTCGGGGTCCCTCAGAACAAGCTGGAAAGTGTTGCTGAAGAGAGGGGTGTCTGGGTTTCTCTCCTGGAACTGTTTCATCCACGACCTAACTATAGATAAGTGGTAGAAGATAGATGGCTGGATGGCTGAATGAAACAATGACCCAAAGGTCTGGAAGTAAAGAGACCATCACAGATAGAAAAAACATACTAAACCTGCTTTTTATTTTTGCTCAAGTCAAAAAAATGCAATTCTATTTCTCAAATATAAGATGTAAAGTGCTCAGTTAAAAAATATGAAACAGAAAGAAAAATATTTAATATGAAATGGACCTTGGTTGGAGAGCATTGTGTGTTAGAAGAAATATTTTAAAGCCCATCCATTCATCCATCCATCCATCCATTATTTTCCGCTTGTTCTGAAATCAGGTCACAGGGGTAGCTTCTTGAACAGGGAGGCCCAGACATCTCTTTCCTGAGCCAGCTTTTCTGGGAGGACTCCAAGGTGTTCCCAGGCCAACCGAGAGAAACAGTTTCTCCACCGTATCCCTGGAGTCTCCCCCCAGTCGGACATGTCTGAAGCACCTCCCTAGGGAGGCATCCATTGAGCATCCTTACCAGATGCCCAAACCACTTCAACTGGCTCCTCTTGATGTGGAGGAGCAATGGTTCTGCTCCGAGTCTCTCCCAGATAACTGAACTTGTCACCCTTTCTCTAAAGGAGAGACCAGCTAACCAGGGGAGGAAACTCATTTCAACCACCTGGATCTGTGAGCTCGTTATTTCGGTCACTAATCAGAGTTTGTGGCCGTAGGTGAGGGTAGTAAGGTAGACAGATCGATAAATAGAGAGCTTTGCCTTACAGCTCAGCTCCCCCTTAACTACAACAGATCGGTGCAGACCTCCACTTGAGGCAGAACCTCACCCTTGACCCAAAGAGAGCACTACATTTTTTTCTGAATGAGGAGTGAGGACCATGACCTCAGATTTAGAGGTGTTGATTTTCATCCCAGCTGCTTCACACTCAGCTGTGAACCGCTCCAGTGAGAGCTAAAGATCATGGTATGATGACGCCAACAAGACTACATCATCTGCAATGTAACAGAGAAGGAATCCTGAGGCCACCGAACCAGACTCCTTCTGTCCCCTGGCTGCACTTAGAAATTTTGTCCATAAAATTTATGAACAGAATCGGTGACAACGAGCAGCCTGTCTGAGTCCAACTCCTATTCTGAAGGGGTGGGAACCAAACTATTGCACCGCTTGTATAGGGACCGAACAGCCTATAGCAACAGGCCCCCGATCCCATACTCACGGAGCACCCCCCCCACACACACACAGTGTATCCTGAGGAATCTGGTCGAGTGCCTTCTCCAAGTCCACAAAACACATGTAGACTGGATGGGCAAACTCCCACCACTACTCGAGGACCCTAGTGAGGATAAAGAGCTTGTCCAGAGTTCCACGACCAGGATGGAACCCACATTTTCCTCCTGGATCTGAGGTTCGACCAAAAATCGGACTCACTTCTACATTACCCCTGAATAGACCTTGCCAGGGAGGCTAAGGAGAGTAATTCCTCTATAATGGCTTGTCTTATTTTTGTTGTACAGCACTTTGGTTGGTCTTGTTGCTGTTTTAAGTGCTTTATAAATAAACTAGTCTGGTATGGTATGGTTTGGTATGGTATAATTGGAGCACACCCTCCAATCCCGCTTTTTTGAAGAGGGGAACCTCCACCCCAGTTTGCCAATCCAGTGACATTGCCCCCACTGTCTACATAATGTTGCTGCAAAGGCGTGTCAACCAAGACAGCCCCACAAAATTCAGAACCTTAAGGAAATCAGGGCGGATCTCATCCACCCCCAGAGCCCTGAAGCCGCAGAGTTTTTTTTAACTACCTCTGCAACCTCAAGCACAGTTATAGACAGAACAATCCCAAAAGTCCCCCGACTAAGCTTCCTCCATGGAAGACATGCCTTTGGGATTAAGAAGGTCCAAGAAGTATTCCTTCCACCTCTTGACGACATCACTGGTTGAGGCCAACAGCACCCCACCTTCACTGAACACAGTGTTAATAAAGTGCTGTTTTCCCCTCCTCAGCCACCTGATGGTTTACTAGAATCCCCTCAGAGCTGACCAAGAGTCTCTATCCAAGGCCTCACTGAACTCCTCCCACATCTGAGCTTTTACCTCGGAAACAACCAAGGCTGCAGACCGCTTGGCCCTAAAGTACTCTACCACCCAGTTTGAACATGGCCCACTCAGACTAAATGTCCCCCACCTCAGCTGGGATGTGGTTAAAGCTCTCCCGGAGGTGTGAGTTGAAGATTTTTCTGCCAGGTTCTTCTGCCAGGCATTCCCAGCAAACCCTCACTACACGTTGAGGTCTGTCTGGCATCTTCCCCACCTTCTGATCCAACTCACTACCAGGTGGTGATCAGTTGACCACTCAGCTCCTCTCTTCACCTGAGTGTCCAAAACAAATACCATACCATACCATACCACTTTATTTATAAAGCACTTAAAACAGCGACAAGGCCAACCAAAGTGCTGTACAGACAGAACAACAGGTAACACGCACAGCAAAATACAAAATGAGGTAAATCAGAATATAGACATAAAAACGATGCAGACAACAAACCAGTGTGGAGCATACAGGATCAAAACACAGATCATCTGGTGTTGAAAGCCACCGAATAGTAGTGAGTTTTTAAACGGGACTTGAAAACCGAGAGGGAAGGGGCCTGTCTGACAAGCAGAGGCAACTCGTTCCAAGGTCTAGGTCCTGCTACAGAGAAGGCCCTGTCACCTCTGCACTTAAGACGAGATCCTGGAACTGTGAGGAGCAACTCGTCCGCTGACCTCAGGGAACGTGGTGGGACATACGGTTGTAGAAGATCAGAGAGATTGGGGGTGGGACACTGTTCAGTGATTTGTAGACCTACATGAGTATTTTGAACTGGATTCGAAAGTGAACCAGTAACCAGTGCAGTGAGGCCAAAACTGGTGTAATGTGCTCTCTTTTGCCTGTACTGGTAAAAATCGGGCTGCTGCATTCTGGACCAAAATAGACACAAATCAGATGTCACGACTACAAAGTCAATCATTGATCGACAACCTAGGGCATCCTGGTGCACTTATGGACACCGTTATGTTCAAACATGGTGTTTGTGATGGACAAACCATGACTAGTATATAAGTTCAACAACAGAACACCGCTCTGGTTCAAATTAGAGAGGCTGTTCCTCCCACTCACACCCCTCCAGGTCACACTGTCATTATGCACGTGGGCATTGAAGTCCACCATCAAAATACAGAAGCCCTCAGCTGGCGCACCTTCCAGCATCCCCACCAAGGACTCCAAGAAGGCTGGATACTTTGAACTATTGTTTGTCGTGTAGGCACAACCAACTGTCACAGCCCATCCCTCCACCCAAAGGTGCAGGGAAGCTACTCACTCATCTACTGGGGAAAACTCCAACACAGACACCAAGTTGGGGGGCTAAGAGTAGACCTGCACCAGTTCAGCGCCTCTCATCACGGGCAACTCCAGAGTGGAAAAAGGTCCATCCCCTGAGGTGAGCCCAATTATATCTAGTCAGTACCTCTCAACCTCACACACAAGCTCAGGCTCCTTCCCCACCAGAGAGGTTACGTTCTATGTCCCAAGAGCACCAAGGCCCCCGCCTTTAGCCACTGCCCATGGCGTCATGCACCAGACTAGTATGGCCCCTCCTGCAGGTGGTAGTCCTACAGGTAGGCAAACCCATGTTGCTCTTTTGGGCTGAGCCTGACCAGGCCCCATGGGTAGAGACCCTGTCACCAGACACTTGTGGATGAGACCCTCCCCCAGGCCTGGCTCCAGGGTGGGGCCCTGGTATCCCATATCTGGGCAAGGGACACTGAGCTTCGTGCTTTTTCCTGTCCATATGAGTCTTTGGAATTGCTCTTTGTCTGGCCTGTCACCTAGAACTAATCTGCCTTGGGAGGCCTTACCAGGGGCAATAACAATTGCCCTTGACAGCATAGCTCCTAGGATCATTCAGGTGCACAAAGTCCACCATGATAAAGTGGCGATTCAAGGAGGAGTTTAAATGTCTATAAAGGATTTTAAAGTCTAGTTTGAATTTGACAGGAGCCAATAGAGAAAAGATGTATTCTAGATTATATATATTATTTTGTTGCTCACTTCAGCCCACATTTTAGCCCCCTCAGGTTTTTACTCAGCACAAGTTTAGTTTTAATCAGTTCATTTAGTTTGGACTTTCGTGTTCTTTTAGGACCCCAACCCGTTCCTCTGTCCTTCCATTGAGCCTGATGCATTGCTACGTAGTTCTGTTCCTCCTTTGGCCAGTAAGGAGCAGGGAAGGCTGGGAAGTTCTGCTCGAACCCTCGCTCCACTCCACTTCCCGTCTGAGCTGCTTCCTTTTGATGAGGCTCTGAGGGATGTGTGCACCATCCGACCCCTGATGGATGGAGATGTGGTGGCCAGACACGGAGGACAACTGTTAGAGATCAAAGCTGCTGAGCGGAGAGGTAAATTCATTTCTGGTCGGGGATTAAACTCATTTTGGGCAGGTAATAGACCGATGTTGTGTTTGTGCTGACAGAAATGGAGAAGCAGATGAAAATTGAAAACTTGTTTGTCACCTGGCAGCAGAGGTCAGCACAGTCCAACATGCCTATTTCAGTAAGTATCCCACATGATACAGTATGTGCAGATAAACTTGCGGAAGGGTGAAACTTAATTATAGAAGGTTTAATTAGGTTCAGGTCATCCTTCATCTCCTTACAAGATTCTGTCTTAAAAAGTATTTAACAGTCTGAACTTTGATTTTAGTAACTTCCAGTTCTAGATAAATCTGGAAGAAAAAAAAATTACTATGAAAAAATGTTTTGTGTTTCCAGACTCTTGCCATTTGCATTTTTATACATATATATATAAAAAAAATTACCAGCTAAATTTCAAAAAGTGTTCAAACAGTCAAGGTACATTTTTTTTTAAATACAGTATGAAAGAAAGAATGTTGGGTTGTCTACCACAAGAGGTACCTTATTTGTACTATTTGTTATGTCTTCAAGAAAAATGCATTTATTTAGCTGACAAGATTTTACAGACTCATGTATGACAGCTGAAGCTGAATCTTTTCAAAGTGTCCCTGCGATTTTATTTTATTCCCAACAAAAGCACTAACTATAACTTGTTCTGAATAAGTTGAAAGCTGAATGTGGTTCTGCAAAGTTGAGCCTTTTCTAATGACTTTTAGGTTGGTTCAATTCAAGTTATTTATAGAGCACCACTTTGCAAAAATAATTATTGTCTCAAGGAACTGTACAAAATATAAAAACAATTTGGTTTTAAATCCAATTGCAGTCATTTCACTTCAAATATAAAACATTCATGTGCATCATAAAACGCCAGCAAATGATCTAAGAATGCCAGAAGACTAAACAATGGTAGACGTAAAGACATTTTTCAGGTTGTCCAACTGACAACCTCTTGACAAAACCTGGTTGTCCACCAAAGTTTTTGGTTGTCTGCAACCTTACAACAAAGAAAGCTAAATATCTCAAATAAAATTGTAATTTCATAAGTGTATTGAACTATATACAAAGTTTACTATATACAAATGTTCTCAGTCAGTCATCTTGTGGACTGCTTAGAATTTCCAAGCTACTGAGTGGCAGAGTCTTTCAGGAGCTGCTTGAGTGGAACTTCCTCTTTTTCCTCCTCATCTTCGTTCTTGTCATCAGACTTTGCAAGAGAGGCACTCACAGCATATTTAAGGCAGGAATTAAAGCAGAAACAAAATGTGTTGACTGAATTTTTTTTCGACACCTAACCAAGCCTACAAAAGCCACCTACCCAATACCACACATTTGAAAGCTTTTTCCTGCATACAGGTCACTTCTCAAAGGTATACTGTATAAATGTTTATACTGTGTACATGACCTTAGTGAAAGTACACAATAATGTTCTGTAATGAAGCATTGAAATACCAGTAAGAGTCAGAGAGTCGGAGATTCTTTATTGTCGTTTGCATCACATGTGGTACATGTGGTGGAACGAGATTATGTACACAGGGTCCCAGTTACATCCAACAATAAAATGTAAAATAAAAACTGTAATCAGATCTAAGATATGAACTAAGAAAAACATAAACTAAAAATACACTAAGCACTAATAGCATAAACACAATACGTTGAACAGCAACACAAACATGAGTCTGTGTGAACAAATGAGCACACATGAACACAGCAACATTGAAACAAATCAGCAGCAACACTAAAACATCAGCAGCAGCATGATGTGATTTTTCACAGTGATTATTCTGGTTAGATATTCATGAGTCTAACAGCCTCAGGGTAGAAGCTGTTCCTCAGTCTAGTGGTTCTACACTTAATGCTCCTTAACTTCCTTCCTGAGGCGGGCGGGGCAAAAAGTGTAGAATCATAAGAAGACTTAACCGGCATCATTAAAACCAATGGCAGTCTGAAGGAAGAGTTTACTTTTACATCATTTCTTTGTTTTCCATTGATTGTCAGATATACATTTAAAAAAATATACCAAATGAAGTCCTTTGCAGAGTATCAATTAACTTTTTTTTTAATTTTCCAGACTGACTGATTTTTCCCGCAAAAAATGATAATTTCCTTCAAAGAGATTATATTTAAAGGATTTCAGCTCATGTACAGTAGTCATTTAATGCTATTTAATTTTCATATTTGATAATTTATTAAATTGCATTCATCACATTTCAATTACCTCTCAGTATGGTTCTAAATATAATCAAGTCTAGCACATCCAAACAGTGTTGTTGTTAAAACACCGTGTGTAATTTGTTTGCGGATATTTATGATACACTTTAAACAACTGATACTGACTCTCACAGAGAAAACTTTTCTCAGACCCGGATTTTAGTCAAGCGCGTAAGTTGTACACATCTGTACGATGACAACGGCACTCAGAACACTTAACGTTTAATACAAAGTTAGATTTTAGATACAAAAGTCCCAAGGGGTTGGAGTGTGGTGCGAGAGGAGTGGGTAGTAAAAGTAATAAAGAATCTCCCCGGCTGCAGTGAACTGGTCACATGCGAACACATACGTTTAATTTGTAGACATTTAAAACTTTTTGCTACTTGTCATCATTTTTGGTTAGGTAGCGTCGTCATTGGAAAATAATACAGGAAACACTGATTGGTGCTCTCACCTGCAGTCTGTCCGTCAGGACTTATTCTTGCCTCGCCTCATCTGTTAGTCTGCTCAACATCAGAGCAAATAAGAAGGGGTTCTTAGCTCCTTGATGAGTTCCCACCTCCACCTTGAAGCTATATATCACTCCTATAGCACACCTCACCCCTGCCCTGCCCCTATACATGTCCTGTACCAGTCTAACATACTTCTCTGCCACTCCAGATTTCCTCATGCAACACCACAGCTCCTCCCTCAGCCCCGTCATTTGCTTTTTCTAAATCCACAAAGACACAATAAAGTTCTTTCTGACCCTCTCTGTACTTCTCTATCATCACCCAGAGAGGAGGATGACTAAAAACTTCATTTTCAAGAAACCTTGAAATTTTCATAGCCATGTGTTTAGACCTACAATTGGACCTGATCAAATCAAAAGAGAAAGAGCCAACAGAACTGGTCAGACTGGTGTTGTTAGTGATTGACAGAGTAATGCCCTCCCCTACATGACAAAGAACAGTTAATAATTTATAAATATAATAATAATTTATTCAAAATCCTATAATACTTGAGATTGTTAACATTTGAAATTTAAAAACAATTATTCATGTGAATATAGCTTTTTTTTCAGGTTATGTTTAAGGTTATTTGACAATCTTCTAATTTTGATCTTATTTGCTAATTAAGGAACTGGCATTTTTATGGAAACTTTACACTCCTAGATGCCTAACCCCATCCTACAACTAAATCAAGTGGTTTGCTTGCCCCCAGTGAGTTGCCAGGAATTCAAAAACTAAGCCAAGTACAGGATTTGTCCCATAGCTTTGATAGTCCAGCCTAGAAGTGACAAACGCACAGACCAGTTTTTCTGCTTCATTAAAAAAAAAATAATAATAATTTTAGGGATGTTATTCAGGTAGAAAACAGGGGTTTTGGTAACATTTTAATGTGGGGGTTAAATGACATATCCTGATCCAAAATAGCACCAAAGTTAAACACGTTAAAAAACTGGAGGCCAAATTAATGCTGTCCACAGGAAGTGAAAGGCTGCAGTTTATTCCTAAGATGCTTCAGTAGTCCTCCGCTGTAACCGCTTTAGTCAGGTTTGGATCATTTTTATAAACTTAATGTTTACCCTGATTATCTGTCCATTACTGATTATATTTTATTGTTATAATAACTGAACATCTCAACAGGGAACAGATCTGGAAATTTTGAAGCAGTCATCAAGACTTGTCCACTACTGTGCCACCCCTCTTCTTTTTGACCCCATCTTCCGTAAGCAGATCCAAGAGGAAGTCGCAGCTCAGCCTCTTCTAAAGGTAGGTTTCCAACAAAACCAAAACTTCTCAACAGCTTTATCCCTGAACATGTTCCTTAGTCTTCATGATGCTAATGTTCTGCAATAAATCTGTTTTGATCACCTTTATTCTTGATCTGATTGCTTTGATCACTACAAAAATAAAATAAAAATAAATGTAAGAGTTTATACAGACTCGTCACCACCATAACTTTGTGTCCAAAGAAGCTGTTGCGGTCTGCCAGTGTTTGCAGTAGGGCAGAATTTCTGCTGAGCATGTCTTTGTCAGTGAGCTGAGTCGGTTTAGGCATCTGTGTCTTTGATACACTGGGTTGCTTCAGTCCATAAGACATTCAGTTCCTGTCAGATGGTAAGAAAATTGTACTTTCTTTGTTTAAATTCAAAAGTCAGTCACCTAATTTGCTGGGTTCAGTTCAGAACGCTCCTGTTGTGTTTTTTCTAAGGAGCTTGTGCATCAGTTGTTTGATCAGGGAGGCTCACTCGATTCAAGGTTCTTTATAGTCATTCGCATCACATGTGGTACATGAGGTGGAACAAAATTATGTACTCAAGGTCCCATTTACACCCAACAATAGCAAAAATATAAAGTATAAAAAGAAAGAGTATATAAGGATCTAAGATATATGCCAAACATTAATAAAGTAATATAATACAGTGCATTTACTGGGCCTGTAATAAGCCTCAGCTACATGGTGCCCTGGGCTCAAGGCAGAAAGCTCTGAGTAAAAGCAGCATTGTCTGAATGGCTGTATATTATTTTTAATAGGGGGTCTAATAGAAGGTAGCATAATGAGTGAAATCAGTTTAAAACAACAAAGTCCATGCTCAATAATCCAGGTATAAAATCCAACATTTTTCAGTCAGGTCATCTGGACAGTTTTCTTTTTTTGTGCTGAAACGTTTTGCCTTCGGTCCGGAAGGCTTCATCAGTCAAGGAAACACACAACAAAACTGATTCTTCCCCCAACAGCTTACTCCAAAGTGGAACAAACCAGTTCTGCTTGTGATAAGATGGTCTCTTTGGCACGCCCCCTCCTCCATTGTCGGCCTTCTTCCTTGTTGACAGACTTGTCAAACTGGTTGAAAACAACAAAGTCCATGCTCAATAATCCAGATACACAATCCAACATTTTTCAGTCAGGTCCATCTAATCACAAGCAGAACTGGTTTGTTCCACTTTGGAGTAAGCTGTTGGAGGAAGAATCAGTTTTGTTGTGTGTTTCCTTGACTGATGAAGCCTTCCGGATCGAAGGCGAAACGTTTCAGCACAAAAAAAGAAACTGTCCAGATGACCTGACTGAAAAATGTTGAAATCAGTTTAGTTTGTTTAGAACTTGCAGGCACATGTCTGGACTTAGTTTCTGTGTTTTAAGTCATCTGGATTGTTCAGTACTGTCATATATTCTCTTTAGAAAAGGCACCGCTCAAGTGACTCGACAGCATCAGGACGGGATCGCAGCTTCAGCACTGATTCCACAGAAATGCTTCCCTGCAGACTAAAGGATGAACCCTGGCTGCTGGAGATTTCCAGCAACTTCCTTCAGCAGTATGTCCAGTACCTGCAGAGCATGGGCTTCATCCTGGTGCAGGTCCGGCCTTCGTCTCCAGCCCGCAGGTCTGCTGTTTTTTGGAATCTGATTATAGTTCAAGCATGCTTTGTTTATTTGTTTGTTTGCTTGTTTTTCAGTGCTTCTGTTGGAGAAAAATATTCTCTCTTTATTGTACTTACTCAAAAAGAACCACACCCAACAGCAGGAGAAGGTTTTTAACCAGTATTTATTTGCAAGGTCAAATTTTCAGGACAGGTTACATAAATATACATAAACTGCACACATGAAGACCAGTCAGGAGAATCTGCCCCGAGCTGCCTCCTCAGCTTGTTTTTATACCCTCATCAGTTCAGCCGAGTTCACAGAACTTGGAGGTGTCCTTAGAGCCAGCTGCAGCCTCACTCAGCTCCTCATCCAGCTTTCTCTGCTAACCCAAACATATGGCTCATGGGCAGAGTTAAGATTCCCAGCCATAGTAATAAAAGCATCTTTGACATTTGACCAAAAATTCCCTCCCTGCTTCTTTCTACACTGTACTCTGTTTCAACAGCACTGATTCAAACAAAGCACACTCTCTGTGACTGACTGAGTCATTCAGCATAATAAGAGAAATAAACACCTCAGCATCAGCTTTCAGTACCACTACGCAACACACAACGTCTGCATCGGTCACACTAACTGCATGGTGCAGTGGGAAATCTCTTACTACCACCTGGAAGATGTGTGCGGGTTCAAATCCCACAAACTAACAGTTTGAAAATGAAGAGTTTGAAAACAAAATGTGCTTCAATTCTGCATTCACACCAGCTTTGTCTGGCTACTTTTACAATTAAGGAAAAATATTCAGACATCGTGGCCTTAAATGCTTTTTTTTTTAGTTCAGCTTTTCAGCTGACCCTTCCTTGTTAACAGGCATTAACCTTTGTTTTGTAGGTCTTACTTCAGAATACATCACAAGCTTTTATTACAACACGAGATAACATTTTTGCTTCATTTTAGTGTTTTTTTCTAACACTAGAACTTGTACTTTCAGTATCATTACTACTAATAGTAATAGTACTATAGTGCTATTACTCTGCTTACAAACAAATATTCCAGCTGTTCAAATACCTCTGCTTGGAGATAGTAAAAAAAAACTGCAAATAAAACTATGCAGCATTTTATGCTCACTAGTTGTTGTTTTTGTTTGTTTTTTCACAGAAAAACATGTTTTCTACTTTAGTCTGTGCTCCCTCCACTTGTCCTTTTTATCTTTTGAATGAAATCTGACTTTCAGTCAGCTCTGCTCCACTATGAGATAAACCAGTCTGTGTGGCTCATCTTGAGTTCTGTCTTATTCTAACACCCCCATCTCTCCTCCCTGCAGCATCGCCAGGACCCGTGCTGCCATGCTGAGCTCCATGTCATTGGAAGGAAGGATGTCTTTTTCTTATGTGAAGCAGAAGAGTGAGGACAGCCCTAAGGTCAGTGCCTGTCCAAGGGTGGGAATTCCTCCTCATTCTTAAGGAGGGTGTGGGTTTCAGTAAACAAGGAGGGTTTTTTTTCCCAAGTTATTTTTGGTGGGGTCCTTTAAGAATGCAGCATTTTCCTTTCTCCAAACATAAACTTTCCATTTAAATCAAAAAGTTCTATTTTGGTCTCATCCGTCAACAAAACATTCTTCCAACAGTCTTCTGGCTTGTCCACGTGATCTTTAGCAAACGGCAGATGAGCATCAGTGTTCTTTTTGGAGAGCAGTGACTTCCTCCTTCAACCCTGCCATGCACACTATTGTTGTTCAATGTTCTCCTGATGGTGGACTCATGAACATTAACACCAGCCAATGTGAGAGAGACCTTCAGTTGTTAGAAGTTACCCTGAGGTCCTTCGTGACCTCGCCCACTATTCCACGCCTTGCTCTTGGAGTGATCTTTGTTGGTCCACCACTCCTGAGGAGGGTAACAGTGGTCTTGAATTTCCTCCATTTGCACACAGTCTGACTGACTGTGGACTGGTGGAGTCCAAACTCCAGATGTGGATGTTCAATGTAGTTTTTGAATTACAAGTTGTAATTGAATGTATTACAATTCTTTTGACATGGTTAAAACAAAAAGCCTCACAGGATCTTCCCAAAGTTTCAGAGTCTTGTGTTTTGGTTCCACCATGTCTACATTGTAGTGATGTAAGGGTTAACTTCACTACTAATTAATTATTCTTAAAGCTAGTTCAAGCACAAAGAATATTAATTGTTTAATTACAACAGATTATTTTCTTTTTCGAGTTAAATTTCTGCCTTGTGACCAAGATAACTGTGAGTGGAGTGTTTAAATCAGTGACATGAGACGCCATTTTATCTTTGACCCATCGGAATAAATGCGGTCATTTATTTAACAGAATCAACATTTAACATCAAAACATGTACACATTGATTTGCTGATCTGTTTCTGATTAATAAACTTGGCAAGCTTTACTAACAAGACAACAGAAGATTACTGATTGAGACTGATTCATCTCTGAAGGCATCTAGCTTGATTTACTGGCGAATAGTAAAGTTTAAGAGAGGAGAAATAGATTTAAGGAGGAAGTTTTAGATGGATGAAATTTATGTGTGGAACCAGAACATTGCACCCTTCCTCCGACATCCAGCTTAGCCCTCCGGTACACTTCAGGGCGTCAACGGCTTGTTACCTGAGATGGTGGATACCTCCACTCCGGAACAGAAGTCCATTAGTACGCTCCCTTTTCAGCATCTTCGGTTAGAGTAGCTGGGGGTCATCAGAAATCGTGACGAAGTACTCGGTTCCACCGAATAAGCTTCCTTAGAAGTGGAGCATTTACTGCTCGGGTTGGTTCACAGCCAAGGCAGGCTGTGACTACGCTGGACTGGAGAGACCTTTGGCACATGGTCAAATCCATCCGCTACTTAGTTGAGTCTCATCTCCGACTGAAAGTTCCAGCAAGACTGGAAAAGACTAAGACTCGTGAAGACTAAGACTGAAGACTTAGAAGACTTAGCCTTAAGACTGAGTTCTAGGACTTAAGACTCAATAGTTCCAAGAAGTGTTGCCTTTTAAAGGGGTATCCACTTCCTGTTACATGGTACTTCCTGATTGGTTGAAACAACCAGCAGGGGTGTGGTTCTAGTGATGTTAGAGGGTCACTAGAAGTCAGGAGACAGCAGGGATGTTTAAAAAAAACGGTTAGTACAGACAGAGAAATATTATGACGAGGTGAGACAAAGCAGGTACCAGTTGCTCTTATTTACTGTCTGAGAGTTTTAAAACAAGACACTTCGTTCTAATAACTCGTCTCTGACTTTCGACTGACATCCACTACTACTCCTCATTCAGACAGAAGACTAAATGCACACTTACTTTGTAAATAGGCATCTAACTGTATGATCAAAAATCTAATGAGGTTTAAAAATCATTAATACTGTTTCACAGTTGATTTAAATGAGTGGTTCACTTCAACATTTAGAAATGGTATGAACTAAACACACTTTGGATTATCAAGATATCTTAAAATAGTAATGATAATGTAAAAAGAAGAGTGTTCTTTCAATTGATTAATTCAGGATACAATTAAATAGTCTCTTGATGAGATAATTTGTATTTCTGGATTCAAATCAATGAAATAACAGTTCCTGTCCCCTGAAGGTCTTCAGAGACAGATTGTTGTCGGAGGCCTAGTTCACTACAACATCAACATGGTGATTGGTTCATCAACTTTTCAATATATTCAACCTTTATTTACAGGGTTAATCCCATTGAGCCTCTGGGACTCATTTACAAGACAGAACTGATTTTAACAAAGAGTGATGACAACAATAGACAATCATAAATGAAAGCTTATAAATTGTGAAGAACAAATGAAAGAAAAGGTATTAAAAAACGAAACAAAAACAGATTGTATCGCGATGTAGAATACTAAAAACAGGAACATGTCTGTGTTGGTTTTTGCTATGAACCAAATATGAAAAAAAAAAGTCCATCTTATTAATTTTTTTGTCCATTTATTTCACAGACGACATCATCTGGTACCACTGCCTATCACCTCCAGAGGGCGCTGCCAGGAGGGATTGTGTTGATGGAACTGGCTTTTCAGGTAAGCTGCTAGATTTCCCAGCACTCGTGTGTATCAGAATCCTCTTTATTTCACAGCACATTTAAATGAATTGGATATATTTAGTACGTTTTTCACGGAACAGGAAGAAATAGCTGAAATATATACAAAATAAAAATCAATCGGGCAGCATGGTGGCACAGTTGGTAGAGCTGCAGCCTCTCAGCGAGAAGGTCGTTGGATCAAATTCCAGCCAGGGGCCTTTTGAGTGGACTTTGCATGTTCTTTCTGTGCATGCGTGGGTTTTCTCCAGGTACTCCAGTTTCCTCCCACAGACCAAAAATATTCATGTTAGACTGATTGATAACTCTAAATTGTCTCTAGGTGTGAGAGAGAGAGAGCGAATGGTTGGTTGTCTCGTGTCCCTGTGATGGACTGGAAACCTGTCCAGGGTGTAAACCCCAGGGTGTCCCAGGCTCTCGTTCAGTGATAGCTGGACATGAACACCCGTGACACGACCCAGACAGGAAGAAGCGGGTAAAGATGATGGATGGATGGACAGGCAGCCAGATGGACAAAAAAAATAGTAATTTTAAGCAGCTAAATAAGACATTGTGGTTTTTTTTCCCTCTGAGGAACATGAATAGTCATAAAGTGAAAGTGCAATAAATAAGTTAATAATATATTGCAAAGAAATAACTCCCACATCACTGAGATGAACAGTTATTGAGATATCTGTATGCACAGTGACAGGAAGTAATGAAAACCAAACATTTAAGTTATGCTACAATGGACAGCACAGACTTGGTGCAGAATCTGATGTTTAGATTATTTTTAGTCACCATCAGAGAGAGACAAAGAAGAGTCAGATTTCAAATGATATTGTTTCAATAAACAAAGACCAGTGAGTTCCCCCTGTTTAAAGAGTTCCCCTTTGGTGTCACTTCCTGGTATACTTGGGCGACACAACATAAAATTAAAAAAGCCTGTTATGTGACTAAATGGGTAAAATTATGTGTATTCTGCCAAATTTCTTAAGCACTTCTTCCACTTTTTGTATTTGTATTATATGTCACAGGCACTTTATGCCACATCACTGTGGAGTCATTTTTTATAAACAGTACATGCAAATAAAATGAATGTAGAATTAGAAAATTGCATTTTCATAAATAAATTGATAAAGAAATATGCATTTATTTTATCCTCACCATGTTTTGGTCCACATATCATTGTTAGTATTCACGCAGTAATAAATGTAACATGGAGCTCATGTCACGATTGCCTGCCATGAACATTTAAATCAATTACTCCATCTGACATTGGCATTGTGCCAAGGTTTAAGCAACTCTCTGAAGCATGTGGTGCTGTTTGTCACACCGGGTTATGCTGGATTTGAACTTTCCTGACATCTGTAACATCTGGACTCGATTCTATGATTTTGATGATACAGTTTTGTGTTGCCTTTAAATACAGTTTATTTAATATGTTTACTCTCGTGTGAAAACAAACGCATTTTATTTTGTTGAGGCACAAAAGTGACTGAGTGAATCAATTTTAATTTTTTTTTTTAGAACTACAAATCACATTAAGCTTTACTGTCAAAGGTTAGAGCAGCGTAGGTTCACAACCTATAAATAAACTGTAGACAAACAGAGACATTTCTTTAAGTTTTTATCAAACTTAGTATAAAATATTTGTTTATCTGTAGGTGTTGGGGACCAGAGATCAGTGTCACCAAAACTAAGAGACGTTAAACTACCTGGATTCTTCTCATTTCAGTGGTTTGTCTACTCCGCCAGGTCTCCAGCTTTGATAACAAAGAAAGATTAGTAACTCAGTCAGCTGATCCAGTTTAGCTGACTGGCTTTCCTCCATGTCTGTGTGACAGAAAACAGTTTCCTGTTTGTTTGATTTTAACTGTTCCATCTTTGTTTGTTATGTCACCCTGTCAGGGCTGTTACTTCTGTGTGAAGCAGTATGCACTGGAGTGTTCCCGGATCCCCATGGGCCAGAGCGTTAACTCTCAGGTAAATGTCTCATTAGTTGTGTAGACATATACGTTATAGAATGGATAGGTTATGAGATATTAATAATTCATAACTTATCAAGCACCACCTTCAAAATAAGGAAAATACAAATCTATAATTTAAATGATTATCAATCTCAATAAATTACCCTAAATAATGAGTTATTTGGAGTAATATCTAATTATATTAAAACACACACACACACACAACTGAATTAAGTTTGGCACTGTTTATGTGACCTTTATTGACGTACAGGAATATAATAACACGTTATGGCAAATATGGATGTTGAAAGATTTTCAGAAATGATCCTAATAATATAATATGTGGATATAAAGACGTTGCTTTGAGGCAAAAATTGGATTTTAATCTGTTAGAGGTTGTTAACGAGGCACAACTACACCAACAAAAGACAATCAAAAGTGAAACTGAAGATGAGGAGCATTACAAAGATGAATAACACAAATTAAAAGTGGGAGTTTATAAGAATAGGTGGCTCTGGGTCAAGGACCCATTTTTTGACTCAACAGGCACCAGAAGGAACACCAGCTTAGGAGATGGAGGTTTTAACCTACTGGGAGATATCCAAAAGGTTCTTCAGCCAGTACCGGGGAGTTGTGTGAGCCATGAAGCGTTGAAGGGGTCCCAAAGGACAGCGTCTCTCTGGGGACCTCTTGGCTTCAGCTGGGGTTTTCTTACTGTGGTTCCAGCAGTAACTGCAGGTTTTCTTGGTGGAGAGCCCGCTGGCTGCATCCTGCTGGTGGAGTCTGGAGGTCTCGGCTGGAAGAGCTATTGAAAAAATGTCTGAAGTTACTTGAGAAGTTCTGATTGACTTTACTTTATAACTGTGCCTGAATCAAACAGTGTTTTCGATCGACGAACTAAACTTAGACAAATTGTATCTAACAACAATGAAAACTGGAACAAAGGAACTTGATGAATGTTGAAATGTGATGAACAATAACGCGAGAGAAAATAACGAAATAAAAGGAAAAACGAGAACGAAGAGAGCCGCAAAGAGAAGCTTTATTTGACGAGCGAGCTGCTGGATTTAACGTCCCATATTGGGCGTGTTTTGGAGCTGTTTGTCCAATCAAAAAATTTGCTTTTATACAATGATGGGAGTTTGAGTGGTGTTCATCCACTGAGGGTAAAGGTCTCCGTTTACACAGCTCAAACAAAGAGTGGGGTTGGACACTAACTTTAGATTTTATGCACCCATTAAACTAATCATAAGAAAGAAAAACACTATCATTGCTTTACCTTTAACATTGAATATAATCACACTTTAACATGAATGAAATCCTGTGATCAGTAGTTAATAAAGAAGCATGCTTCACCATTATTAAACAAATCAAACATTTATAATTCTGTTATATCACATTCAAAGTTACCTAAAGCACTACTAGTTATACTAGGGGTATAACAAACGTATAGCTTCAACAAAAGGAAGTGAGAAGAAAAATAAAAAAACACAATAAATGTGAAAGGTCTGAGTAGCAGAACTTTTGAGAAACGAACATTAAACTTTGGGTTTGAATTAAAAATGATAAGTTCTGGAAGTCGTTAGCTGCTGAAAGAAAAACATGGTTATTGCAGCATTTTCAGAGCAGACATGAATATGAACAACCAGAAGAATGACTGTTTTAACAAAATTAAACATTATAAATGAATCCCTGAGTTCATGAGAGGTGAGGACAGTCAACTCCTGCCTGTTGGAGGGTCTTTTCTTTGTCCTGAGAGGAAGGGGGGTCACCGTCACCCTTGGGTTCATTTTGAAGTAGGTTCGGAGGAAATTTACCACTAGGTGTGAAACGGGCCTGCAGGAGATTTGATGCAAACTTTTGGGCAATCTAAACAAAGCTGTCAGTTTACTGACGTCTGTTGAAGGTTAACTCAGCAAAAGTATCCAACCAGCAATCTGTACCTATTGCATCTTGTACTAACCCTAACTCACTTCAGCACCAGATTTAAAATAAACACTTTGAAATTAAGTTAGTTTCAGACAGAAATACTCTGAGGCCATGTTTATGCAACAGTTTTGAATGAAACCGTAGCATTTCTGTTGCAGTTTGAACATTTGTGTATAAGACAACAGCCCTTGTTTTCTTTGAAGCAGAAGCATTAGGTCTCAGAGTGGAGGTTTATTGAGACACCCCCACCCCCACCCACCCCGCACAGAGATGTGAAATCATGTGGATGCAATATGAATGACTGCAGTCATTTTTTTCTGTGCGAGTAGATGAACAACAGTAAAAATGGTAAATAGCAGAGTTCTGTTTGTGCTACTCATCCTTTTTTGTGTAGGAGCGACCCAACATGATCCTTGTTCCAAACAAACATTCCTCTATTAACATTTTGGATGTTACTGTTTTCATGAGTCTTGTTGAAACTTGGCTCAGTGTTGCCAGATAAACAATAAATGCCATTTTTGAAGGATAGATTTAGGTTCAAGCCCCCTTTCTTTTTTGTGTATCTAATTGTCTTTCACGACACCTCATCTTACAACCTCCCCCCTCCGAAACAAGTACATCTTACTGAGCACTTACAATAGTTTCAGTCAAAATACAGTAATTTTACAGCAACAGTGCATTTCGTCATTTTTTTATTGTGCAAACCTGCTTGGCATAGAAACTACAGCAGATTCAATGGACATATCATTAATTCAGTTCAGTTCAATTCAGTTTATTTATAAGGCGCCAAGTCACAACAGAAGTCGTCTCAGGGCACTGAACAGAAACCTCCATATATATAAAGTAAGTGAACACTATTTTATCTGAGGAGCAGACTGATTCTCCACAATGTAAAAATGTTAACATTTGCAGAAGTTGTTCAGGTGTAAATGGGTCTGAGACCTGTTTCTGATTTGTCTCAGATAATTTGACTTCAAAGGGTCAGCTCTGACTGAACATGTTCACACCTGACCATTAATGTTTTTGGGATTAGATGAACCTTCTTTGTACAAACCAGATTCCAAAAAAGTTGGGACACTAAACAAATTGTGAATAAAAACTGAATGCAATGATGTGGAGGTGCCAACATCTAATATTTTATTCAGAATAGAACACATATCACAGATCAAAAGTTTAAACTGAGAGAATGTATAATTTTAAAGGAAAAATATGTTGATTTAAAATTTCATGGCGTCAACAAATCCCAATAAAGTTGGGACAAGTCCATTTTTACCACTGTGTGGCATCCCCCCTTCTTCTTACAACACTCAACAGACGTCTGGGGACAGAGACCAGTTTCTCAAGTTTAGAAATAGGAATGCTCTCCCATTCATGTCTAATACAGGCCTCTAACTGTTCAATCGTCTTGGGCCTTCTTTGTCGCACCTTCCTCTTTATGATGCATCAAATGTTCTCTATAGGTGAAAGATCTGGACTGCAGGCTGGCCATTTCAGTACCCGGATCCTTCTCCTACGTAGCCATGATGTTGTGATTGCTGCAGAATGTGGTCTGGCATTATCGTGTTGAAAAATGCAGGGTCTTCCCTGAAAGAGATGACGTCTAGATGGGAGCATATGTTGTTCTAGAACCTGAACATAGTTCTCTGCATTAATGGTGCCTTTCCAGACATGCAAGCTGCCCATGCCACAAGCGCTCATGCAACCCCATACCATCAGTGATGCAGGCTTCTGAACGGAGCGTTGATAACAACTTGGGCTATCCTTGTCCTCTCTGGTACTTTCCAGGAATGTACCCAATATGTACTGGGCTGTATTATTGCTACCTTTGTTTTTATACAGAACATTTTTTTTAAATCTCACTCTTCAAGGGAAACTTCAAGGGTAGTCTGTGGTCTATGTTTTGGCTCAAAGACACCTTGTCATGCTGCAGGGGCTGTGAATCATATCTCCAACCTCCCTACCACTGGGCCAAAGCTTCCCCACCAAAGGTAAAATTAAGGGTAAGGTAAATCCAGTCCTCAGTTTGGTGAAGCTACTCAGAGTAAAGCTGGTGTTCTTGGTTACATTGGCTTGTTAGTGGCAGGGTTTACAATGGCTGTTGTTGTCTTCCACCTTAGTTGCACTGCTTCTGCTTTAACTATGTTCCTTATTACAAGGTTAATGATAAGTTTCACCACTGTCAAAACGCCTCACCACCATCATCATCATCTCTGATAGGAAATACTAAAAAGACATACAAAACTCTACAGACTCGAGGTGTTGTGTGTGAGATGAGAAACTAATGTTGATTCATTCTCACCATTACTGATCCAGCAACAAAACAAAGGTCTTTACTACGATGAATGTTGCTGGAGTGGAGAGCATGTCTTTTGTCCATGGTTGATTAGAGAAAGATATCAGAGTTAAATTTGAGATATTAGGATCCAGGAAACCAAAGATAACCCTGAAGGAAATGGAAGGATCTGTCCATAGTAGCACAAGAAGCTGTGCAGAGCTGGATGTCATAGAATTAATGATATATTGAGTGTTTTGGCCAAATTAATAAATACGGATATTGTAATTTTATCTGAGATGTAGCTTGGTTATTTTCATTGGTGTTCTTTCAACTGCACTCTTCTTCAATAGTCACTAAAGTGAGTGAATTTTGTGTAAAAGATAATTGTTTTATCCTTGCCGTTACTGACACAATCTGATCTTAAACCTGCAGTCTCAAGATTACATAACTGCAGGACTGACCACTGAGTTACCACTACCTGGGTAGATCTTCTGCAGATTATTATATTTATACCAATGGGTATAATGTCTTTGCATGTTGTGCTAAACGTAAAGGAAAACTTAAATTAATAAAGATCATGAAGATTAACCTGGAGAGACGTAATGGACCAAACAAGATCATAGAAATGGACCCAAAAGGACTTGATGGACCAAGATCATGGAGACAGACCTAAAGAGGCTTGATGGACTAAGACAATGGCGATGAACTTGGGAAATGATGTACCCATATCTTGGAGACTAACCAGAAGAGACTTAATGCAATAAAATAATGGAGATGAACCTGAAGAGACTTCCATCCATACATTACCATTACCCACTTTTTCCTTTTTGGGTCATGGGGGACACTGGTGCCCATATCCAGTAGTCATTGTGCGAGAGGCGGGGTACACCCTGGACAAGTTGCAAGTCCATCAGAGGGCATCATAGAGACAAACCAGACAACCAACAATTCACACTCACTCACCTAGAAATATCTTGGAATTACCAGTCAGCCTGACATGCATGTTTTTGTACTGTGGGAGGAAACTGGAGTACCTGGAGAAACCCCATGCATGCACGGAGAGAACGTGCAAACTTCACCCAGAAAGGCCCCCAGCCAGGATTCGATTTGATGACCTTCTTGCTGAGAAGCAGCAGCTCTACTAGCTGAGCTACCATGTTGCCCCTGAAGAGACTTGATGGACCAAAATCATGGGGATGGACCTGTAGAAATCTGTTGAACCAAGATCATGGAAACAAACCTTAAGAGTTCTGATAGACTAAGGTCGTTTTCACACTAGATAGTCCGGTAGACTCTGTTCGGTTCGGGACCAATATTCATGAGCTTTTGTTTACATTTGAGCTGGTGCGTTTGCATTCACACTGCACTGTGCAGTCGAGTCAACCTGTTGAACCAACCTATTCCCCCGCTCGCCTGTGGGGGCGCTGCACCAGGAACTACTGAAAGAAACTACACAAAACCCTCTGAAGACACGTCTTCTTCTTCTTCTGTAAATAAAAATAAAAACGAAGTGGCATCAAGTTTTAGCAGTTTTAGGAGTTATATTTTGTCATTTTTCAAAAATGGACTTAGCATGAGCAGAAGATGAGACAGAAGACCATGGAGAATGTTGTTTTTCACACAAGGCAGCTGACGGCTCCATATAAGGTCAGAGAAATGCGTGTTTGTTTACCCTGCGGAGTGGGACTGGTCTGTTTACATTCACACTGTACTGGAACCACACTGGAATTCGCTTCTACCGGACCGAGACCTAGGTTTTAGCCCGGGCCAGAGTTCGCCTTTTTGTTCCATGACAGAGTTCGATGGCGCGTTCACACCTCCCTAAACGAGCCGGACTTTCTAGGAAAACGAGCTACAGTTCGATTAAAGTGGACTAAACAGGGCTAGTGTGAATGCACCCTTAATGGAAGTGCGCAGTTATGCATGCTTAGGGCTGTTCTTCTTGTTTTCCTTTGCAAACGATTACTGATAACACATTTTTCTCATTGTTAAGAGATCAAATATGTTGGTAAAAATTAATAAAACAGACTAATGATGTTTGTGGTTTTTGTGCTCTAATGTTTATAGTTTGTTTAGGTTGCTGACATCTTGTGGGTCGGAAACTGAAAAGTTTGAGAATCAGTTACTGTATTTATACATAAAATCTATGGTTTTCTACCTTTCACCTATGGCAACTATATGAATGAAGTCTGATGTTGAACTGATGGGATGTTCTGACCTGTGGATTATTCACCTCTCCTCATTAGTTTGTAAGGTGGATTTATAAATGTGAGAAGACATGTTTTTATATTCCTGTAGGATGTTGTCTTCCTTTCCATCCATCTGTCTGTGTCTGCCTTGTCCCACCTCATGTCATCTCTCCATCAGGGCAGCATCGTCTCCAAACTTCGTTGCAAGCCGTTTCCTGATGCCACACCAGTATCTGACTGTGCGGTATGTCTCTGCCATTCTCCCAGGAGGGGTATCTTACTCCAATCAGGCTCCGCCCCTCCTCGCCAACCTGCTTGCTTCCATCCATCCTGGCCTCCTTCTGTATCTCTTTTCTATCTGGAAATTAGGGGAAATCATTGGTTGTGGCCTGTAACAACAAGCTGGCTGTAAATCAATATAGGGCTTTATATAAAAGCAGGAGTTGGTCTGTTACGTTCTGAGTTTCAGGTCTAATCCAAAATCGTGTGTGATTTCCTGTTTTCTCTCCAGGCTTCTGTCTCTGTGCTTGTTGGTTTGGCTGCTGTTGGACTTCCAGCTGTCTCTGCTGATCTGTCTGCCATCTCTGTGGAAACTTCATACTATTTTTCTTTAGTGCCAATATAAATCTGGAGAGCTGCAGGTGTTTTCGGGGCTGAAGATCCAGCTCACTTCTTCTGCTGGTCCCAGTTGTGTTGGGTTTTAGAGTGCTGTCCTGCGCTCTAAAACCCTGTCAGAAATAATCACATTCATTTAATTTTAGTGCATTTACTGGAAGAGTTTCTGTTGTTTGTCTTTGTTTACAGTTCATCTTTTTATGAAGAACTTGATATGTTCAATTTTCCTCACAAAATACTGTGTAGGAATTAGAAAAAAAATCACATACGGGACCAAACATAAACGGGTGTGGTGCACTGGTAGGGCAGTGGACTTGGGACAACAAAGTCGCAGGTTGATTCCCCACCATGCCCATATTTCATGGTGTCCTTAAGCATGACGTCTATTCCCTAAATGCTCCCTGGGCGCCTAAATAGCTGCCCGCTGCTCCACTTGGGTGGCTGTCACATGTGATGGGTCAAAAGCAGAGGACTAAATTTGATATTGTATGGAAACATATGAAATCCAACAACACTTTTATGATCCTTGGAGTTTTATTCTGCTGTTCCAACAATGTCTAAATTCATTCATTCATTCATTCAACCTTTATTTAAACAGACAAATCACATTGAGCCTCCACAAGACTCATTTACAAGTGAGACCTGTTTGGACAGACAATAAAAAGCGGTGAAAATGACACATTTAAGGGGCAGATATGATAAGATTTTTTCTTCTTCTGCTACCTTTCATTTTATGACGTGTTTTTTTTTTCTTATTTGGTTTCTAAATTGTTTTTGTGTTTAAAATATGAAATGAATAAAAATGACAAACAAACAAACACATAGAGTTTGGAGATAAAAAAAAATCCTAACATGCTCTTAATCTTTGGCTGAAGGTTAACAGCATGATAATGAAAAAAACTACACACGACAAGCACATAACAACATTCCACCACATTTTTTTTGGGGGGGGGGGGTGTTAGACGCAAGGGCGGTGCACATGTCCAGAGACAACACACAGTGGCACTATAAATAAAAATTATTATAATCAAGTGTCCCTAACTTTAAATGGAAACAGTACACTACACTTTAAATGCTCAATAATCCAGGAAGATGACCGTAACAAGGGTGAATCAGGTCCTCTTGACAGATTCTTCTTTGCTGAAACGTTTCGCATTTTATCCAAAAGCCTCCCTTCAGTCTGAGGAGCTGCAACAAACTCAGTCTTATAAGCAGCACCTTCTTGTAGTGGATCAACCAGTTTATTGGTGACAGCCAGAACTAGTTGTTCATGTGCCCTAACAACTTGATCCACTATAAGAAGGTGCTGCTTATAAGACTGAGTTTGTTGCAGCTCCTCAGACTGAAGGAGTTTTTTGGATTAAAGTCTAAATGTTTCAGCAAAGAAGAATCTGTTCAGAGGACCTGACAACTTTCCTAGACTTGTTAGACACACTTTAAATTGACTGGGTATACTAAATGGCAAACAAACTGAGATCACTAAACCTTAATTGGACCATGTATACTAATCTTCAAATTGACAGAGTGTCTTATATTTTAAATTGACCAAGTATACTTTAAGTAACATTTATTCAATTCTGTTCAGTTTATAGTAATCAGCTGCCTCAACTGGCTGGAGTTAGAGAGGACAAGTATGAGATTTGGACAAACATAGAATGGCTGGTCTAGGTGTATTCCAGATGTACTTTCCAAGTCACCTTACAGATTTTTTTTTTTTTTGTCAATTTAAGAATTTAGATCATCAAACAAAAGTTTACATCAAATAAAGATAGCCTAATTAAATACAGAACACAGTTTTTAAATGAGGATTCTATGAAGCAGTGGTTCTCAAACTTTTTCTGTCAGGGTCCTCTTTTGAGAAAGAAAAATTGTCTGCCTACAAATCCCAACCGCCACCCCACCCCAACATGTGTCAAGTGTTCAAGTATAAGTACATTTATTAAAGGAGATGCAATATTATCACCATTCTTCTCTGAATATATGTATATTAATATTTAGTCATACAGTAAATACTCAGAAAATAACATTTTTTTAAGAGGATGTTAAAACAAATTGACCTCAATCATGTTTTAAATTTATGTCCTTGTGAAAATGAGTCTTACCACCTTGAGTTACATGATCACAGAGAAGTCTGAAGTTCATGTGAGGTCTGAGGAGACTCAGCCGAGAGAGGCCAGGACGTTCAGTTTGTGGCAGATTCTTTATTTCTTTACTTTTGAACAATATTGTTAAACTCTTTTATTTTGACACTTCTGGTACGTTTGCTTCTCGTCTTCATCAGATTCATCAGAAACACCCAACGGTCAGTGTTTATTAGAACAAACATGACAAACAATAATTCCCAAACCCTGTTTAAGTCCATGGCTGAACCTCTCAACATTTTCTAAGTTTTGCTTCACAGCACTCCAACAAATACTCTGCTTTCCAAATGTACTTTGAAATCCAAGTGAAAGACAAAAGAAACCATAAAGGCAAACAGCAAAACAACAAAAATATTAAAACTGCTGCTCATTTCAGCTGTTTCCTTCAGGGGTCAGCTGATCATCAGCTTCCTCTGTCACACCAACTCTCTGCAGACCTTTCACTACGTCCATCAATCTTCTCCAAGGACTCCTCCTCCCTGGCAGCTCAAAACCCTCCAGTATCCTTCGTCCTATAAGTCCATTGTCCCTCTTCTGCCCATGTCCAAACCATCTCACTCTTGTCAAATTTCGTCTCCCAACTTGAGTTGTCCCTCTGATGAGTTATTTCAAATTATGTCCGTTCTAGTCTGTCCCAATGGAGATTTGTGCATCTTCATCTCTGCATTGTTCACCTCAGCCTCCTGTCTTTTTGTCTCCAGGGCTCACTAACATCCTGTAAACCTTCCTTCCATTAACTTATACTGTACAGTACAACTCTACTCCAGGTTCAAATACAGAAGCTGGAATACTATTAAGAACTCAAATGCAAACCTTGTATGTATATACAGGGGCTGGTCATAAAATTAGAATATCATGAAAAAGTTTATTTATTTCACTAATTCCATTTCAAAAAGTGAATCTTTTATATTATATTCATTTCACACAGACTGATACATTTCAAATGTTTATTTCTTTTAATGTTGATTATAACCGACAACTAATGAAAACTCCAAATTCAGTATCTCAGAAAATTAGAATATTACTTAAGACCAATAAACAAAGGATTTTTATAAATGTTGGCCAACTGAAAAGTATGAACATGAAAAGTATGAACATGTACAGTACTCAATACTTAGTTGTTGCTCCTTTTGCCTGGATTACTGCAGTAATGCGTCGTGGCATGAAGTCGATCAGTCTGTGGCACTGCTCAGGTGTTATGAGAGTCCAGGTTGCTCTGATAGTGGCCTTCAGCTCTTCTGAATTGTTGGGTCTGGTGTATCACATCTTACTCTTCACAATAACCCCATAGATTTTCTGTGGGGTCAGGCAAGTTTGCTGGCCAATTAAGAACAGGGGTACCATGGTCCTTAAACCAGACACCGGTAACTTTGGCACTGTGTGCAGGTGCCAAGGCCTGTTGGAAAATTAAATCTGCATATTCATAAAGTTGGTCAGCAGCAGGAAGTGCTCTAAAACTTTCTGGTAGATGGCTGCACTGACCTGGGACCTCAGAAAACACAGTGGACCAACACCAGCAGCTGACATGGCCTCTCAGACCATCACTGACTGTGGAAACTTGACACTGGACCTCAAGCAACGTGGATTCTGTGCCCCTCCTCTTTTCCTCCAGACTCTGGGACCTTGATTTCCAAAGGAAATGCAAAATTTACTTTCATCAGAGAACATAACTTTGGACCACTCAGCAGCAGTCCAGTCCTTTTTATCTTTAGCCCAGGCGAGATGCTTCTGATGCTGTCTCTAGTTCAAGAGTGGCTTGACACAAGGAATGCGACAGCTGAAACCCTTGTCTTGCATATGTCTGAGTGTGGTGGTTCTTGAAGCACTGACTCCAGCTGCAGTCCACTCTTTGTGAATCTCTCCCACATTTTAGAATGGGGTTTGTTTCACAATCCTCTCCAGGCTGCAGTCATCTCTATTGCTTGTACACTTTTTCTACCACATTGTTTCCTTCCCTTTGCCTCTCTATTAATGTGTTTGGACACAGAGCTCTGTGAACAGCCAACCTCTTTAGTAATGACCTTTTGTGTCTTGCCCTCCTTGTGCAAGGTGTCAATGGTCATCTTTTGGACAACTGTCAAATCTGCAGTCTCCCCCATGATTGTGCAGCCTACAGAACTAGACTGAGAGACCATTTAAAGGCCTTTGCAAGTGTTTTGAGTTAATTAGCTGATTAGAGTGTGACACCAGGTGTCTTCAATATTGAACCTTTTCACAATATTCTAATTTTCTGAGATACTGAATTTGGGGTTTTCATTAGTTGTCAGTTATAATCATCAACATTAAAATAAATAAACATTTGAAATATATCAGTCTGTAATGAATGAATATAATATAAAGTTTAACTTTTTAATGGAATTACTGAAATAAATCAACTTTTTCATGACATTCTAATTTTATAACCAGCACCCGTTTATACATACCACCATAAAACCTTCAAACCTAAGCTCATATTGCACTGGACTGGTGAACACCACTCATCAAGGAGTCTCCAGATGTTCTTGGGATGTTTGTGGGGTTTCTGAATTGCTTTAGTCGCAGAGGTTCCCATCTTGTCACTCGAGTCTGTTTATGTTCAAAATGTTTGCGTGACAGATTGGTTCTTAAACTAGTCTTGAGTTGTTGTGGGCATCGCCAACTTTTCTTCAGGAACACGAGAGCTAAATGTTGACCCATGCAGAGGCGAAACATGCCCAGGTAATTATAAAGAGTAAATATTAAAAATAAAATCTGTGGAGTCGGCTGCCATGCTCAGGTGGGCTACAAAACATGTGCATGGCCAAGAATACAGTTTTACAAGCTGTGCCTGCAAAAATAGGCTGTGATTTTCCGTAACTGGCCGTCTAAAATATGGCCACATGGTTCATTGGTCACAAACTTTTGGGTCTCCAGCATTCACAGCCCAGTGATATTCTACCTTACCTGATGCTTCCCAAACAGACTAAAACCCAGCTCCTCACTGAGTAATGCATCTACTTGAAGACAGCGACTGGGTGCTGCAGTATCTTTTTGAACCCGTTGGCCGTTAAAGCAGTTTTCTTGATAGTCTGTACACTCTCCTTCTTTTTGATCATCTTATATGAGGTGAAAGTTTACCAGAAACTTTTTGACAAATAGTAATCCTGATCTAAAATAATAAAGGCTGGGCATTCTGGAAGGAGTGAGGCCTGTTTGTTACCTTGCAGCTACTAACGAATGTGTCCTTCTGTTGTAGCTGTCCATGCTCTTCACTGAGGAGTGCGATAAGGTTCGAGACCTGATGCACATCCACTCTTTCAGCTACGATTTCCACCTGCGAGTGGTTCACCAGTACCTGGTAGGCTGCCACATGACGCTGCGACAGGGCTACCAGCTGACCGATTTCCTGGATGACTTCATCTCCCATCACCCAGATATTCCCAAGTTTGGCCATAATCATGTCTTTCAAGGTGACACTGGGGTTAAGTTTGATCATATTGTCATTAACTATAATTGTTGCAGCCCTTTGTTCCTGTGGTTGCTTAAGGTGATACAGCTGGTATGGTACAGTATATTGTGCTTCTTCAGCTGGACGTGGGAATTACCAGTTATGGGTAGATGATACATAACAAGGTTTATCTCGGAATAGCCAAATAGTTTTTTGATTCCACTTAACAAACTCCATGAGAGTAAAGTCTTAAGTGTAATCTTAAAAGTAGACAAAGTGTCACCCTCATGGACAAAAGCTGGACATTTTGGCCTTAAATGCCAAAATATTTCAAGTTGAGCTTTTCAGATGACCCTTGTTAACACGTTTAAACTTTTTGTTTTTCAAGTCTTATCTCAGAAAACATCTGTACTCACTTGCTTTTATTACAATTTAACATTTTGTATCATTTTAATGTTGATCAATTACTAGAACTTGCACTTTCAGTAGTACTAGTAGTAGTACTATTAGTGCTATTACTGTGCTTACAGATATGCATTCCAGCTGTTCAAATACCTCTGCTCAGGGAAGGCTGCAAATAAAAGTATGCAGCATTTCATGCACACTTGTTTTTTCACAGAAAAAAACTTTTTCCAATATTTTTTTGTTTTATTAAAGAATTTCATTTTTCAACGACAAATAACCTCTGTCCTTGTGCCTTTCATTAACAGGCCAATGAAAGACAGAAAAACAAGAAGAAGAAGATGAAAACAAAATGATTTCAGTTCAGAATGATCTGATGATCTGTACCTTTGAACAGGACAGACAAAAGATCAATCCTTACCAGTTTAAGAGAATAAAGCACCTATCTAATCCAGCTTTTGGATGCACTGTAGGTGGAGCTGCAGATTGCCAGTTTAACAGTAATAGTGTTCTGGCCAGCAGAGCTGTGAATGGTACTGTTTTTTCTGTTTTTTTTAGCAGGAGAAAGAGTAAAGTAGGTAGTACTCAGAAACAATGCAGTTAAACCATTAGGAGTGATGTCCTCTCCAGTTACATTAGATGTAAGGAAACCCTCAGACCTGAACCTCTTCATGAAGGAACGGCTTCAAAATGTGGGAGTAATTTGCTGTGACCTGTTGGCATCATGCACTCATAGAGGGCACTGTGACAAATATTTTAAGAGTTCAATGTAGACTCTGCCGTTACATTAAACTGTGCCGAGCATAGGTTGAAAACCTGTATACCCTAAAACCTCTTCTCCAAACATCAGTTCAAATTACGGATATTTACAGATATTGAGCTAAAATCAATTGCAGTAATAACTGGTCACATTGTTAGTTAGTATACAGTTCTCCCATACAGTTTTTAACACAGTGGAAGCGTTAGAAAGGTTAAAAATATTTAACTATGTAGAAGAAATTGCTTCTCATTGAGGGAAGGTTGCAGAAACACTTCAAAATCAGAGAGATTAGAAAGGGCCGAGTTTTCTGAGGGTGAGCTACAGACATAATGTTGCGTATGAAGGTATCTGAACAAATGATTATTAGAGAGAGAAATTTAATTTTCTAACTGTTGAAGAAGTAAAAATAGAATCAGCAAACGGACTTCTCTGGGTTTTAAATCCTAAATTCATCCTAAACCTAATCCTAAACCCATATGAAGGGTTTATCTAATTCAGATGGATGAAAAATATGATTCCCTGTGAGCGAAGCTCCAACTTCTTATTTGTCAGGGGTAGGTGCTGATGTGGATCGTTGCTCTTTTTAATTGTTGATTTAAAACGTATTAAATGGAGCATAAAAATAAAAAAAGTAGCCATAAATTCAGTAGGTCATAGACCTTCTGAGCCTTCTGGCAGGTCCATGAGTCAAATACTGGTATTATTCCAGTCTCCCAAGTCTCCCCAATCCTTACTCAAATGTGTATCTCATTAAAGAGATTTCTAATACCTGCTAGTTTGATGGTCTCTAAAATATATTTTTTTTCCTGAGGTTTTAGAACAGACATCTTCTTTTAATGGGCTCTGTTGTCATCTAATCTATTGTGGTGATAGTTTCATCTTGTAGGTTGTCTATCAGTGTCTTAATGCACCATCGAATGTCTTCATTAACATCCAGCGTCTTAGGAGAATTTGGCTCTGAGGTCTGATGGCAAGTCCGTCCTCGGCCTTCCCTGGCATTTAAATTTTTGCCCGAAAACTCATTTATTCAGATTTCTTAAGTATATAGCATATACATGTATAACATTGTCACAGAGCTCCTATTAAACAAGTCCTATTGCATGTGTACCTACTAACAGTCCCTCAGATTGATAGTAGTAGATATGATTTGCTACACAATCGTTTTCTTGTTAACATTTTAAAAGGTGTTTCAGCAGAAGGAGCTTAACATTAGTTTTACTGATCTCTGAGTGACTGAAGAGTTTCAGAGTATCTGCATTAAGTGGAGAGTTTTAAAGCTTTTGCTACAGCGTAACTGGGATTTTGTTTCCTTCAGGGAGTTTTTCCATTTCCACTGGGATGATAACAGCTCACCAGCTCTACAACTACATCACTGATCATGCCAGCAGCTATGGCATGAAGCCCCTCCGCATGTCCAAAAGTGCGGTCGGTACCGACAACAAGAAGGGGAGTCCAGACCTGCATGAGTACGCCTTGGTGGCTCTGTGGAACAGGTCAAACTCACCTCACCATGCCTTGAGGAAATCTCACCGTCTTTATATTGTTTTTTTATTCCAACTTGTCCCTTCTTCCTGACCTGCTTCACATTTAGTTCGGGGTCTTACAAAGATCTGGAGGGTCTTGACCACCATGATGATTTCGATGTGACCCTGCTAGTGTGCCACAATGCTGCTCCATTTGAGGAACAGTCAGATGGGGAGAGGCATTTACTCAGGTAAGAACAAGATTATTTAAAGAAGGGAATGCGTATTGCCCGCTGCCGTTCATGCCAGTTTTAAATGAAGATTGTCTAATGATGAGAAATTATGCAGTTTAACCATTTTGATCAAACCTTGAAAATAACGTTATGCCCAATCCCATGTTATATCACAAGTTGTCACTCAGAGTGTTAGTTGTGAATGACTCTCAGCTACTACCACAACTGATTTGAGCTCGATCTGTAAAGAACAGCTGAGTTTTAGATACGCTAATGCTAATGCTGGTAAGGTGTTGTGGCCATCTTGAATTAGGTTTGCTTTAAGGATTAATAAGTTATAAGGTATATTCCATGATTAGTTTCTATGTTTTATTAAAAACCGTGCAGTCATTCATTAGATTTTTTCAAGCTGACTACAACAGCTAATGTTAAAGTTTTTTCCGGCTGGGAACGTCTTGGAAGACGTGGCTATGGAAATACTTTTATTTTGTAACTTTAAGAGCGTCACAGTTATGTTTATTTTGTAAATTATGTGACACCATTACATGGAATTAGTTTCTCCCCAACTTTGTAAAACAAAAAACAAATTACAGTTAGTACTGTAATTCTCGAGCTGCAGAACGCACCTGTCTCCAAGCCACACATAATAAATATAAGATAAATCTTAATTTTGTACATAAATAAGACGCTCCGGTCATTTTGCCGCGGACATCCACCGTTCATGGTCAGGATCTGTTCCCAGCTAGCTCCGACAGTGTGCAGCTTTCTTGTTGTAGTACAAGAATCAGCCACAGGATGGCGTTTCACAGACTCTAGCTAGCTTTCAACACACTCAGACTGTATGATCGTCACAAGTCTTCATGAAGCTTCACTGTCTGACATGGTTAAATCCATTCAACCTACAAAATGAGCACAATAACTACGTAAGCATAATCACAGGACAGGACAGTGCCAAACACCTACGTAACCAAAATTCGTTAAAAATTATATACTGGTAAATATTACCCATAAGTCTTATCAAGGTCATGTGACCAGAAGTCAAATAGTATCGTAAAATATGGTAAATATTCAATAAATTATTACCTTTGATTTTTATTGTTAAACACTAACAGCTGCTGTTTTTAAATGTACTTAATAAATAAATTTTATGTGATTTCTCCTCAGCATTGCTCATGAGGAGGGAGGATGGGGGAAGAGCCCCCCTACCCTCCCGTTGTCTCCTCCGCTCGCTGCTCGATGTAGCTTAAATGAGATATTGGTATTTAAACACATTTACCGTACACAGAAATATATATTTTTTTGCTTTTATTTAAATATGTATCAGTCCTGACTGACTGACTGCTTTAGAAATAAATCTGACGCTTTCTCCGCTGAGCTCTCATGACGGAAGGGGGTGGGCAGGGGGAGAGTACCCCTCTGGTTCGTTGTCTCCACTCCATTTCATTCAGATTTGAGTTTAAAATTAGATCCCAGTATTTAAATGCATTTTACTACTACATATTTACTGTACACAGAAAGATGTCACACAAAAAGAACTTTAAAACTTCTATTAAAACATGTAACAGACTTGACTGCTTTGCGTCTCCAATGCCTGACCATCGACACGTTAATGCAAAGCTTACGATCAGCAGCTCTGCTTTTAACTTGAAAGCTACATCATAAGAAATTCTCCGTGCGTTTTCCATTTTCACTGAACAAATGAACAGGTCTGTGTATGAAGCGCAAAATACGATAAACAACACAGGAACGATCTGAAGAAATTAATGCACATCTGTCTTGGGGGATGGTCCTCGAGAGTACCTTGTTGGTTATTCAGGTTAGACTTCTGGTCACATGATGACAGAGTGGGCGGAGTTATGGTGGGGAATTTGAAACCCTGAGCAAGTGTTTTTTCATGTGGTTCTCTGAGGGCGTTCACTCTGTGTCACAACAGCTCACCCCTAAGTTGGGCGGGTACTGGGAGCTATGGGCACCCAGCTCTGTCAAAGGAAAGTGTTACGTCAGCGGCAGGAAGTTACTGAGAGACGGCAAGAAGTCTGTCAAAATAAAATATAACTTGTGAAAATTATGAAAAGAATACATAAATTAGACGCACCTACATACTGTATAAACCGCATGATACAAAGTGTGAGTAAAAAGTAGTGTCTTGTACACCTGCAATTACGGTAGTTGGTTTTGAGTACTTTAATCTGGATTCTGAACATGAACTAATTTAGTTTGTATCCCCATCACCTATACTTTGTGATCTTGATCCACACTCTTGACTGGTTTGTGTGTTGGTATGTTAGGATCAAATGTTAGAAAATCAAACTTGCTGTTGAAACGAGTGACGTTTAAACTGGTCGTGAATCTTTGTGTGTTTCAGGTTGCGGTTTTTTGTTATCATGACCAGTCAGAGGGAGCTGTTCCCTCGCCTCACTGCTGACATGTGCCGCTTTAAGAAGCTTCCTCTAATCTACCGGGATCTTTGTGAGCCAGACGGTAGACTCCCCCAGGATCAACTAGAGACTTCTGGTTCAGGTGGGGACGAGCGGGACCTTTGGGAGGAAACTTCATCTGTAGCTTCGGCTGCCTCAGCTCCAAGTGACGGCAACGAGTTTTATCCTCTGGCTGGGGGCAGGCCTGGGGCTCAGGGACTGATCCACGCTTCCCCCATGTTCCCTCTGCTCAACAACGAGGTGGCAACGGCCCACAGACACATCCAGACCAGTGTGGAGCAAGCCATGGATCACTGCCGCAGGGACAACCTGTGGAAGAGGCTGTTCCACGGAGAATATGTGGCCCTGGACAAACTGAAACTGGCCAAGCTTTCCTTCACAGAGCTGGAGGAACTGCTGCAGGCCGTGCAGAGCCGCTCCGTGGGGGAAATTGACTCACAGCTGGTAGGAGTCCTGCCTCTTCATACGTTACTGGGAGAAAAAACATGCATAAATGGACACATTTGTCAGATAACACAACTTCAGTTGTTTAATCTTCAGTAAAAAAAAAATCTTCCCAAGCACTTTTTTTTATTAACTCGCATGATTTTCAGCACAATAACTAGTTAAAAAATAAATTTGAAATCATTAATACACTTGTGTTGCTGCAGTTAGACTACTGGAAGAATTATTTCAGAAACAAGGATTGTAGAACCAAATATCATCAAAACCATAAAAAACAAGTTGATTATTGCTGAATAGGTTTTTATATTTTGTCTGGATTAGTTGAGACATCCATCAAATATAAATTTATTTAATTAGTACCTCTTTACATCATCATCAACATCATTAATAACGTTTTATTTGATTTAATAAAGTCATTCACACAATGTGGAAAATGATCATAGCTAAACAAAGCTGGACCTAAAGTTTCAGACCTTTCTGTCCCGACCTAAACAACTTTATTCTGATTTATATCCATTTTTTTAAATATCAGAAATATTCATTTTGTTGCAATTGAGGCAGCAATGCTTTTTAGTTAAAATGTTTATAATTTTTACTGTCCATATATAGGTGGAGTGACAAAAATTGGTATCAAACGTCTGTAAAATTATCAAGACTCATTTACTTTAAAGCTTATTGGAGGTTTATATTTAGTTAGTGAAGTAAGCCCAGCTTTGTTAAACTTGCGTTGGTTCCCTGTCTGAGTCAGCTGACAACTCCTCACCAGTTTTAAAGTACATCCAAACATGTTTGAATAATTATACCAGAACGTGGTTCTGAAAACATGTTCATGTCACACTTTTACAATATCTTGGCATGTTTTACGAAGCCAGCTGTTTGTTCACAGCTTGTAAACATTTCAACAAAACCTATTTTGTAAACAGAAAAAAAAGCCAGAGTCTTCATGTGCTTAAAAAAGTCAGAGCATCAGAGAAGTCAAACATCATCTGCAGAGAGTTTTACCAAAGAACGAAGGAGTCTGTTAACACCTGCACATCAGGACAGAAGTTCTCATTAGGTTTTAGTGTAAAGTGGATCAACAAACAAAAAAAGCATAAACAAGTTTTAGTGTTCAGTGTACCCCTAAACTAAAGAAGCATACACCAAAGTGATATTTTTATGATTATGATTGGCTCGGACTGTGTTCAAGGCTCTAAAATCACATCAAGAACTGGAGAACAACCTAACTTTAGGTACAAAAGGGATTTATTTACAAATGTACATCTTTTATAGATCAGGAGATTAAAGAATGACTGGTAAACTACAGTATATGGCAAAAAGAAAATTGAGTTGATGAATTCTAAAAAATATGACTTTTAGATACCAAAATATAAAGTCATGTATTCTGTTTAATGAACAACTTGGCTGAAAGACGAAATGCTGTCGTACTAATCGGTCTTATTGTTACCAACACCAGAATATTTTCAAAAATATCGTACCATTGACACAAATCAGAACCACGCGGCAAACAAAAGGAGAGGTCTGACTGTTTAATGGTTTCTAGTCAGTGTGATCCCAGTCCAAATCCTTTAGCACTGAAAGTTGTCGTTGGCACATCCACAGATGGTAGCTTTTAAAGTAGTACAATGTACATATAGAAGAAAGTACAATCAGTGTGAACGCTGACAGCACAGTTAAAAAGAAAACGAGTTATGTGGTTCTAGCCTGACATGTTAATGAGGACTGTGGTGTTTCGTAGGACTGTTTCCTCACAATGAGTCCAGCGTGGTACCAAGGTCTTATCAAAGTCCTGCTGAACCGGTTCCCTCAAAGCTGCAGACACTTTGATGACAACGGGATCCAGTATCTGGTGAGAAAATGTTGTGCTTTTATATATATATTTCTTTTGGTTGAGTATATAGACGTGATTTCTTTGCGATTCTGTAGGAGTAAAGAAGTTCAGTTGGTTCTTTTGTCCTTGGCCTGGCCGTACCTGTTGAACGTTCAAAAACGTGTTTGTAAAAATGTAGTGTGGGTGTGTGTTTGGGGCCTTGTACTTAGTAATGTGGGTGGTTATGGTGAAGAAGGAATCAAAAGGCAAACCTCTCGATGCACTGGTCTGTCTACGTTCCAACCCAGATCTGTAGTCATGAGGTCTGGATCATGACCGTAAGAACGAGATCCCGGGTACAAGCGACCAAAATTAACTTTGTTCATCGGATGGCCAACCTCAACCGTAGTGATGGGGTGAGGCGCTCCATCATCCCAGAGGGAGCTGGGAGTACAGCCACCACTCCTTCACATCGAAAGGAGTCAGTTGAGGTGGTTCAGGTATCTGAAGAAGATGCCTCCTAGATTTCTCTCTCTGAGGTTTTCCAGGTATGTCCCACTGATAAAAGGCCTAGAACTCATTGGGTTGTCTATGTTTATGCTGTGTGTGTGACAGAAAATTTTATGAAAATAATAAAAGCTTGCATAAAAGCGAAAGAGAACATGTGCTTGAGAATGTTTGGAAACAGACAACGAGATGTGCTGTTGAACATGTGACGTCAGGTAAAGATAATGGATGGACTGTGTCCCAGAGAGGTTTGTCAGAGGTCCAGTTCCAACACATCTCCCAGTGTTATTCCTCCATCTGTATTCTGTGAAACTCAAGTTTAAGATCCAAAAAAAGTTCAATCTGGTCCTCTGGACATTCAAAAACCAAGAAAACAAAAAACAAAACAAAGCAAAAAAAAATGGAGAAACGTTTCGTCTCTCATCCGAGAGACTTCCTCAGTCTGAGGTGCTGTATTCAGCTCAGTCTCTTAAATAGCACCTTCTCAGAGTGGATCAACCAGTTTGCTGCTGACAACCAAAACCAGCTGCTCACATGGTCAAGAAGGACCAACTGTAAGATAATAAAAATGTGAGAACCCTTTAGGTTCTGATTGTCCATCTAATCCTGCCTTGTATCTTGTTTAAGGCTGTTCTGAACCAGAAATTTACCGACTGTTTTGTGCTGGTCTTTCTGGACAACCAAGCAGGGAAAACCGTAAGTTACTGATCAAACCTTCCACCTGTTGATGTGGCCCAGTGTCTAAAGCCTCATTTCCTCTGTTCTACACCCACAGAGTCTGAAGGTGGTGTTCCGGGAGCCGCTGCCCTCACAGCCACAGGCCGGCGGCAGCCCCCCTCCTCAGCTGGTGTCTATGTACCACCACCTAGAGTCTGTCATCAACACGGCCTGTTACAACCTCTGGACTGGACTCCTCTAGAACTGAGTTTTACTCATACAACTGTACTGTACTGGGAGGTGAAGGTTCTGGGCTTGATGTTTCCAACAAACCTCACAACCAGTTTCAGTTTAAGGTGCCTTTTGATCGTTTTTGTTCATTAACGTTTATTGTTGTTCAAGAGCTCTGGCCAAAGAAATTCTGAGGTTCTGATCAGTTTAAAGATTGATTATTAGAAGTTTTGTGATTTCTCAACCCTTGTACTGAATACTGATAAAAACCAGAAGCAGAAGTTGGATTGCTGTGACAGAACACATACAGGACTAGAGTGACAATTAAAGCACAGACAGAACAATAGAACATGGACAGAACCACAAAGACCATAAGGATGAAAACAGAACCATTATATATTTTTTACAAATGTTCAGTAGAAGTGGAACACTAGACATCTGTGATTTCAAGTTTGTAACGTAACAACACAGGACTGTCATTATGCAAACAGAACTTGAAGTTTTTCATGAGAACACAGACTGACCTGTAAACTTTGCACTGCCTGGATGTATATCATGTAAATACAGCATTTTCTACAAGATGTAAAATGTGAAATAATACAGAATAACAATGACTACTCAGATTCACATGTGCATATCAGTTTCCAGTGGTAAACTGTAGGGCCTTTAAGATATTTAGAGAAAACCCAGTAATACAACTAAAGAACCTGGAGAAGTTTTGAAAGGACCTCTCCTGTGGCGGCAATTAAAATTTAATTTCCATAAATTGTGTTGGGAAATTATTTTTTCTGCTACCCTCAGCTCGACATCTTAGAAAGAGTTTTGTTTTTTCTAAGGTATCTGTGTTTTTTCTAAGGTATCTGTGATCATCTGGAGTCAAAATGTCTTCAAAAGTTCATCAGTTTTAGACATTCATCCAATGATTCTGAGAGCTTCAAGAAATTTGAAATTTCTTGCTATTTTAGGAGAAATGCTTATTCTCAATGATGAATGTCCATTTAAAGCTTTTTTGGCTGAAAACAAAGCACTTCTGCAGACAAAAAAAAAACATCTGGCACTAAAAAACTTTCTAAAACTAAGCTATTAGATGTTTTGAACTAGGATTTGAGGGATTTTAAAACGCTTTGTATCCATAAAAAAATAGTCCATTTCATATTTTTCTGCCTAAGACAAAGCACTTTGAGACAAACACAAACTGATGTCTCTTTTTTTAATTGCAGAACACAAATACTGGTGACAGACTGCTGTCATTAATTAGGTTATTACGTTTGTAACTAGCATTTGTGGGATTTTGTGAAAACGCTTTCTCTTTAAAAATTCTCCATTTTATAAGATCTTTGAGACACACTCAAAATTACTTTGCTTTTATTAATAGAGACACTGGAGAGACTAAAAACCTCAACAAAAAAATAAAATATGTGCACCGGGATCTTCTCTTGGATCTCCCCAGCTGTGGTGCACGTCAGGGTCCCATTCGTGCAGGCTGGCCTCGGCAGGCACCTAGCAGAACTGGGTTTAGAACTGGTGTGGACCAGGGAAATCCTACTTTTTAATTAAAACAAAGCATCGCAAAAGACTAACGAAGGTGTTGACGCGATGTGATTTCTAGAATCCAACTGATAAATCAGTAGGGACGATAATTTAGGCAGATATAGACGTTTGGGGACCAACAGTATCCGTGATAATTGTCCCATTATTCAGATATAAGCACTTCTAATTTTCACCCCATAAAATGCTGGAACCAGCTGTAATTGTACAATTTTATATTTAACTTTTATTTCACCAGGAAAATCCCATTGAGGTTAAAAATCTCTTACAAGAGAATCCTGGCCAAGACTGGCTGACTGTAGTGGATGAACATTGTAGGTTCATCCACTACAATGTGTCCAGCAGAGGGCGCATGAAGAATACTTTCAAGTCATGTCCATTCACTTAAGTTTCACTTTCAGCGCAGCCGAAGAAGGGAGCAATACTGTGTACCAGTAGCTTATTTTGCTGAACAGAGCAGTTTGTTTTAGCTGATCTGTAAAATGTGTATTAAAAATTCTCTTTAATCCTCCAACCCGCTTGTCATTATCTACGTGCCTCTCAAGTTAGCAAACATATTTAGATAACCTAGCAGACTACTGCCTTGTAAAACTTTACACAGAACAAATATGAGGTAAAATACAAGTGTTCGTATGTTACCTGTTGTCCTCATTGCTTGAAATCTTATAACTTTTCTACAAAGAAAAAAAAAATGCTGTGGTTTATACTACCAAGACCTTCACCAAACGTGACTGACTTAAAACAATGAACAGAGAAGGGTGTTTCTTTGTTTAATTTATATTTATGCAACACACTTGAAAACGTTATGGTGAATAGTGGAGGATACATTAGGAAGACTTTTTATGATCAGTGCACCACTTGTAAACTTCCTGTGTAGTGGATTAAATTTGCTTCATAACTTCTAACAGCTGCGCAAAATAAACACGCTCCACTTGCTGTTTTTTAGATTCTTGGGGATGGACAAAGCGCAAAAATTTCCAGCCATTATATCGGCGGTCGCCTTCCCCTCCTAATATCAGCTAATGGCAATAGCCAAAATGTCCATATCGGTCAGGGCTCTAGTGACCTCTGCCCAGTGTTCTGCATGTCAAAGTGAAGAAATGTATGTTGTATGTTCCTAATGACAGCAGTCTGAGTGTAGTTTAGTGTCACCAGTGTCTGAAGTTTTCAAAATGGAGACAGCTGTGTCTCAAAGTGCTTTGTCGTCACCTAAAATGCATCAAATGGACATTTAGCATAAAAACAGGTGTTTTGGCCTAAAAATCCCACTAATATTAGTTAAAACCGCATCAAGCACACAGAGTTATATCTGCAGGTGAAATGTATTTTAAAAATGAGAAACTTAATGTGGCAAACAATTAACACAAAAACTGACAATATGACCACAACCAAATTAATATAGTCAATCTTCAACACAATAACACACAGAGAGGGTTAAAGTGTGGAGTAAAAAAAGGGCAGCGTGTTTATTGGTTCTCCGTCTTCACACTAGGCAGCACATCACTCAAAGATGAGGTCACAGCGCTCGCCACAGTCATGATGATCACAGGCGATCAGACAGGAAGCAGATAAAGCTCATTTACACACCACCTCTGTGAACGGCATAACATTTGCATGACTGACTGCAAAAGGTTATTGACTCAAAAACAGTCCTAACACAGGTGACGTAGTGCAGCTGCAGACAGCGTGGTCAGAAACAAATAAACTAGTCAAACAGAATCATAAAACATGGTGTCAAGTTTTTTTTTTTTGTTTGTTTTACTCTTAACCAAAATTAAGAGGAGCAACTTTGTTCAAAGTGATTTGGCTCAAAATGCAAGACGGAAACGACCTGAAGATAAATGGATTTTCACTCTTTGATTATACACAGAAGTGGGAGAAAATGTAAATCAATGTGTCAGCAAGAGAAACTTCATGAAAAGTGCTTGATACTGTCCAGAACAACAACAAAAATAGTTCAACTCTATTAAATTTAACTGAAAGTTTAATGATGCACCGAAAAGCTCTGGTAGAGTATAAAACTCCGGAACAAAGGTCATCATCATCATCATCATTATTATTATTAATCTTTTTTTCATTGTCAAACAGCATCAGATAAAGAAAACACGACTGTTGAGATTCTTATCGCTCGCAGGTTCGTCTGTCCACAGTCATTTCTGAGGAGTCCTAATGTTTTGCAAGAAACGGACCAAGTGGGACTGAACAGTTAGAAAACGTAACCAGCATTTGTGATTGAACGCAGTGTCAGTCGCTCGTTCTGCACAGTACAATTCCATTCAAGCAGATTCATCCACAGTGTCTCCTTTGGCCATCCAGCAAAACTCAAAGACGAGCTCGTCTCCTCAGTTTCTTCACTCTGGGTTTCCATCGCCACTCTTTTTTTTAATTTTTTTACGAGTTCAGTTCCACTATCCGTGTGCTCATAAATCCTCCTTTCTTCACACTTTCAGTGCAAAACACAATCAAACGTGGAGTCGTAGCCATCTTGGGAGATTTCACAGCTGGTAGCCCCCCCACAACTCCACTGCTCAGCAGTGACAACAGCCTTTGAAGGACAGGCTTAAAAAAATAGAGAAGGATGCAAAGGCTATCAAACACACACTTTCAGCGACTGTTACAGCTAGTCTTTGGGTCCCTCATTCCACAGGTTCATCCACTACCACATCTACAACAAGAAAATAAAAGACCTCTGAAAATAGACCGACTCACTTTGCACTGTCCGACCTAAACACAACGAGCTAATGTGAAGCGTGTGAAACTAATACAGGACAGATTTAATGCAACGTGAACTGGGTCTGGTGTTGGGAAACAGAAGAGAACCAGTTCTGTGATTATCGTCATGCTCCTCTCATCACTGTCTGGTCTTCAGTGTGCAGAACCTCAGTGACTGGTCACGTGATTCAATACAACTCATTTACAACTAATACAATAAAGGATTTTGTAAACATACAATGTAAACGACCATAAAAAGAAATTCTAATTTTATGGTTGAATGTCACCCAGAACGCCTCGTTGGTACCAGCCTGCTGCTCTCATGTTCATAAAGAACAAGAACTGTGCTTCAGTTGCTCACTTGCTGCAACTTCTTTAGTTCTCTTAACGTCTCACCGAGTATGAAAGACTAAAACCTCCTGGCTCTGACGTCCAACAAGGTGATGATCATATTTCTAACTGAGATGAAGCTTTAGAACTTTGACCATTTGTAAATAATTAAGCACATTTTTATTTTTTGAAAAGGAAAAGAAAATTCTATGATGGCATATTAGGGCAACTTGTGTGGGGGGGTGAAGTGATTTTATTTTAAGTTAGAGACTGAAGTGGAAATAATATTGATTAAAAATTGTATTTGATAGAAAAAGTGTAATATTTATTGACCAAAAATAAAGTTGCAATGTTGAAACCAGGTCATCTTTCAACACAAACCAGAGCCTGGCTGTGCTCCTGCACCAAACGGTTTGTTGTTTTGACTAACATTATATCTGAGGGTTACAGGTGCACGTTGACTGGGTTAACTGGAAAACAACCTGCAGTGTTTCAGCTGAAGCCCAAGAGCTCCGAGAACTTTCGTCAATCTTTTACAATAAGAGCCTCTATCTGCACACGGAGCGCTAAACGTCTGAAGCTTTAGAAAACACCTCATGTTACTGTTCTACCATAAAACAAAAGCAGCAGCTTAGACTAACAACATCAAGTCAATACTAAGTGCATGTGTTTGAGACTCTTATTGTGAAAGAATGAAACAGGATGCAGCAGGAGTAATAAACTGCAACTCTGACGACCTCAAATAAAATGATGTTATTTTGTAGTTAATCCAATAAACGTGCACCAATATTTGTCAGAAACATTAACAATTTCAACAACTACCGTTAGGTCCAGAAGAGATTTGGACTTTTTTCGCTCAAAAAAAAAAAAAAAATGTAAACAAATTTGCAACTTTTTATGTCAATAAAACTGACACTTTCATCATTTAGACTTTATCTTAAAATTTAGATTAAAACACTTCCTCTTCGATGGCCCTGACACTAATATGTCACTGTGAAATTCATGTTTACTAAATGTTACAAAAAACAATATTATAATGTAACAAACAAACCCACTTTACTGTGCAATCATTAACTACATGGTAATACTGTGAAGTGCACCATTGCTCCCAAAAACAGAAAATTAAACTAACACAAAGTAAACAAAGCCTAAAAAAAACAAAAAAAAACACTGAGTGTCTCCAGACTACAGATTCCAACCATAACCAAAAACAAACAAAAAGACCTGAGGATTATTTCACGGAGCATGGATCGTTGTTGCTTTCTGTAATGGACTCGTTACGTTTCAAGTCTCGGGTGTTTCTCGTGTGCGGGTCCAGTGGGCCCAGCATGGCTTCCATCAGCTGATGGTACAAAATTGTGCAGGTTTCAAAAGAGTCTGCCCAACCAAGAAAACACCGTAGCTTAGATTCTGGGATTATCGTACCACAGAGAACCGCATGCAATTTCGCTTAAATCCAAACCAACTCCCAAATATGCTCACACGAACACGTGCGCGCACAGTATATAACAAAAAGTAAAGTTTAAAAACTACACATTCAGAAAAAGTGTTCAGTTGTACTGGGATTGTGTGTCCACCTGAATAAGAAGGTAATCCTATATTTGAGCACAGAAGGGGGATCAGAATAAAAGCAGTTTGCCCCTTTCAAAATAAAATAAAGAGAAAATCCTCCCAGTCTCTGCAGGACACTCAGTCTGACAGTGGGGGCTTCACTGATATGCTGAAAAGATGCTCAGAAATAACAGGAGACAATATCAGTGGTCCAAATCCTTGTTCAGTGGTCAGTACATCCTTTCCACTCACACAGCCAAACACACCCATACCCACACACACACTGGGAACTCTGGTTAAGGCAGTGGTGGCAGGTGACGTTGCAGTAAGGTCAGGGTGAGGACAGGAGAATTGTCTGTCGGGGCTCATGGCAGTGAAAGCTTCCACTACTGAGTCGGTGCTCTTCCTCACCCTCCTCATCCTCCTCTTTTCTTCTTTGTTGAACTTCTTACTGCCCGTCACTCAAATGACATAAGATTGGCCGGAACCTGTGAAGAATCAAGACACAGTTTAAGAACATGTTGGTGAAATTCACACAGATGTGTGAGTGCGTCTTTCTACCTGTTGCCTGTTACTCTGACAGGCAGCACTCAGATGTTTGAACCACAGCAAAGCATTTATTCTGTTCCCAGCCTGGTACTTGTAGGTGTTACCTAGGCAACAGAGACAAAACGTGTCAGATAAAGGTTGTCCAACAGTCTGTAAAGATGGCTGAAGCCCTGTCCAACTAAAACAGGAAAAGTGAAAGAATTTAGAACAAGAGCTAATGTTTAACTAAAATGCTATTATGTACACATAGACAGCTAAATCTGACCCACTCTCAAGCTTAGTTTAGAAACTATTTACTGCCTTGCACTGAGAATGCTGCCACAGAGGCTTTATGGACCAATGCATAGCAATGACCTCATTTTAAATGTCATTTTTCTGATTATGCTCTTAATCAAACTGAAGAGAGGCTCTGATGATATTCTGATTTACATGTTGCAGATCCAGGTTTAACCAGCTACATCCTCCTAGACCAAGGGCTCTGCAGGCTATGACATGACTGCACAGGCCACATGCAGCTCTTTGGACCATCTGATCAGTACTTTGTAGCTTTGACCAAAATAAATTATAACATTAGGAAAGGTTAAGTATTAGGATTCCCCTGTGAACCTACATAAAATGTCTGTAACTGTGTGTACATACGTGAACACACACACGTGCGCACATATATATATATATATATATATACATATATATATATATATACATATACATATATATATATATATATATACATATATATATATATATATACATATACATATATATATATATATATATATATATATATATATATATATATATATAGAGAGAGAGAGAGAGAGAGAGAGAGTCTTTCTCTGTAAACCAACAGAAAACTAAACATTTGAACACATTTGAGGAAAAGGGCTGAGGGTAAAACAGAAAATGTAAATATATTACATAGCAATAAAACAAGACATTCTGATAAACCATGGCAAGTCATTTGAAAGAAAGCTTGAAGTAAAAACTTGCCTTTGACAAAAGCTTCATGAAAATATCTGTTTTTATTAGGAACCACATAAACATTGTACTCATTTATCCCCCATTATTTGGATCTAAATGCTTGTATTATTTAAAGTGAACATTTTTATTAATTTTCCATAAAAACAAGTAAAGACTAACACAGGCCTTCATTTATAAGAAAGATTAAACACAAAATGCTTAATTCCTTATTAAGAGTTTAGTCTTTTTTCCCGTCATCTCAACATAGAAACATTCAAAGAATTTGTTTCCAAGTTATAATTTTTCTTTAATTTCAAAATGTACAAAAGTAGTTTTTACATGTACCGTTTATAAATAATTCAGTCAAAAATGTAAAAATGTAGAGGCTCACCGTGCTCGGAGTCAGTCAACAAGAAGACGTCTGGATGATCTGGATCATCAGTCATCATGGCCATTAGACCAACGACACACACACTTTTGCTGGATGTGGACTTAAACTTTTAGGGGAGTCATAAAAAAATAAAAAATAATTAATTTTCTTGTAATCCTCATAAAACATTTAAAAATGTGTCAATTTCAGTACTATAATTGCACAGCTAAAATACCCAGGGTTATTATTTTTATAACCCACATTTGTTTAATCACAAAACGTTGGTTACATACTGTAACCCCAGATACTATGAGTATAGGCGTAGCCCTTTAAGGCTGTCGCTGGTGGGTTTATCCTGTCATGCAAAGCATTGCACTGAAAAAAATTTAGTCCACGCCCACCTGTTGTGCGGACCCCACCCGGTCTGTATAAATTACATTAAGAGCGGGTAATCGGCTCCCAAATAGCTTTTTTTTTTCTTCAGCCATTTAGGAGCCAGTGAGGCCCGACACTTAAAGGACTACGCCTATACTCATTGGATCTGGGGTTACAGTACGTAACCAACGTTCTGTCGTATAGGCTTCGCCCTTTAAGGCTGTCACTGGTGGGTTAAAGGCGAAGCATGATGTAGTCTCCGCCTCACTGGGTCCATTCGAACACCATATGAAGCGCCCGCTTGCCCAAAAAACATCTCGTCACTCAGCTCTCAATGTGCGTAAATACGAGTTGCGTAATTACGCGCACCGTGCACAGACGCACGCATTTCGACTGCATGAACGCCCCGGAAAGGTTTTTAACGGGAAAGAGGAGAGGCTGAAAAGGCCGTGAACAGAGCAGATCCACGGCTCTTCAACATGAACAGATTAATAATAAGTGAACTGATTATTAATCAAACAAACTGATTGATGACAGAAGTCATGAACTGATTAGTAACAATAGAACAAGAACAACAGTCATAACCTGTGACTGATAACATCTCACACTGTAAATGCATGCAGTCAGATGTGAGTTTAAATGAGACTCCATAAAACAACAATATTCATTCTGTTAAGGCACTAAGGACAGAATGTGTCATGGAACAGGCCGACACATCACGTGAATAGAAGCAAATAAATGAACAGGGTGTTGACCACGTGGCCGCAGTGCAAATATCCTGCATTGTCATACCATTATGCAAAGCAGTTAAAGATGCAATACTTCTGGTCGAGTGTGCTCTGAGGTTGACAGGAGGCTCTAAATCTGATGCTCTGTAGGCTTCAGAAATGGCCTCACACAGCCAGTGTGACAGGCGCTGGGTGGATAACGGGCGACCTGCAGATGCATCTCTATAATGCACAAACAAATGTTGAGTCTGACGCAGTGCCGCCGTGCGTGCTACGTAACACGTCAACGCACGCACAGGACATAAGATGGAAAGATGCTTCTTCTGATTTGTGGGGAGGAGGGAAAAAATCCCTCCAACGATATTGCTCTTGATTTAAATGAGCTCGTGATGTTTTTAGGCATAAACGCTGGGTTAGGCCTCAGATCAGCTGAGCTGCCATCAGCCTGAATTCTGTGACATGACGGCGCGACAGAGAGGGCAGATAAATCACTCACCCTCTTAGCAGATGTTAAAGCCAACAGCAGGGCTGTTTTAAGAGACAAGAATTTCATCGAAACCTGATCTAGTGGCTCGAGTGGAGCTTTGATCGGGGCTCGCAGAACCAGCGTTAAATCCCACTGTGGAGAAAGTGTGCGTGAAACAGGCCTGCGTCTCTGTACACCTTTTTTAAAAAACGCTTCATCAGCGAATGACTAAAAGCTGTTCTGTCCCCGAAGCCTTCGTGACAAGAGATGGCTGCAGCGTACGTTTTAATTGTGCTGAACGCCAGATTTCTGTCCATCAGCTGCTGCAGAAAGGACAGCACGCCACGTAGTGGACATGAGGTGGCCTCTACACCTTTCTCTGTACACCAGCACTGAAACGCTGTCCACTTTGATGTGTACAGCGCTGTGGTAGAGGCAGCAGGTGAACCCTGGATCGTGCGCACTACATCTTGAGAGAGACCCATCCTCTCTAAAACGGATCCGCTCAGCGGCCAGACCCACAGGTGCTGGCATATTTCTGGGTAACTCCTGATCGCTCTTCCCGCCTGAAGGAGAGCATCCTCCCTCCACAGCCGTTTCCACGGGTGCCCCGATAACAGGCGTTGTAGAATTGGGAACCACGGGGCGTTCACGTGCTCAGGAGCCACCAGGAGGGCTGTCAGGCCCTCCTCCCTAACTCGGTTCAGAAACCGTGATATCAGAGGGAGTGGGGAAATGTGTAAAGAAGCATTTTGGGCCAAGGAAATGGAATGATATTAGAAGCATCTTCAATTTTAACTTCTGCTAATATGACTGTGGATTTACTGGATTCCAGTTTGACCAACAGAAATGTTACTGAGACGAGGAGGGATTTTATGATTGATGTCTGAAACAGTAATTGTGATTTTATTTACGTTAAACAGCCTGCTACACAGTGGGCTAACTTCAGACAGCAAACAAGCAGGGTTGACTAACAAGAGACGTTCAGAATGTAGAAACACAGTGAGAGTTGGCGAGTGCACGTCACCGTGCACAGCAGAGGTCGAGTGTGAACAGGACGCATTGTTTGGGCAGATAGATATTTTTTGTGAGTCTAATCACTCTGCACTTAACTCTGGCACAAATACAGCTCCACAAGGAAAAAAAAAAAAAAAAACACTTCCAGCTTTATTTGCTGGAACAAAAGCTTAAGATAAAAAACAAGTTTGTGGCTAAACGTTTTGTTTTAAATGCCATTATTCAATAAGTGCTACCATCTGTGTCTCCCAGCTGCAACTAGTCCCCCCTGCATTTCCTGTTCACTCTTTATTTTCTACTTCCAGTTGTTTCTTCTGACCTCACCTCTGAGATGTACAAGCTGCAGTATCAGAACCAGTACCTGTCCAACTAACAGTCAAACACATGCAAAAACATGTTTTTTTAAGATTTCAGCAGCAACACAGAAAATGTAAACCCTTCGTCTCCCTGCATGCCAAGTACAAAGAACACTGAGTTCATTTGCTAATTGAATTTTTTTCAAGGTGAGTAATGGCTAGCATGTGTTCTCGTTATAAAAAACAGGGTGTTTTTAACTCGCTTAAACTATTTTTTACTTCTGTCAACAGTTGTGGTTCATGTGGAAACTCATTGTGTAAGTTCTATCTGCTGCGCTCATCAAACACACCTGATGAAAAACAGCGAGCCCTGATCGAGTGTTTGTGTGTGACTCACATGTTTCCTCTCTGTGGCCTTCAGGGATTTGGCAGGGTAGTAGTGAAGCTGAGTTCCACACAGAGTGACCCAGTATTTAGTCCAAGACGCCACCTGGATACACAGTGAAACCCAGTCACAGGATGAGTGAGATATGTCAGAAACATTTCAACTTGTTTAGTAAGATGACTGAAGAATGAAAGCTGAACATCTCATTGCATGGCAGAGTAAAAACTTGAAAACTAATACATAAATAAAGAAAACAATGGAAGGAAGGAACTAAGGAGAATAAAAGAACCAACAAACTGATGCTGCTGGTGCCAAAAGACTGGCAAGGGTGAGGAAAAATAATTTTATGTCTAGATAAAACAGCGAGGAAGCTTGTAAATGATTCACACAACGTTTTGTATCATCTGAAGTGCATGACAAGTTTCAGAACCGCTGTCAGCCAAAACAAAGTTAAATCAGCTTGTGAGACCAAAACAGCTGATGAATAGTGGTGTTCTAAAGCAGAGGTTCTCAAACTGGGGGCCCCGGACCCCCGAGGTTCCGCAAACCGGTGCTTGGGGGATAGCCTACACAAAAATATATATATATATATATAT